GGCACTGGAAACTGTGACATCAGCCTTGTGGGAGGATGTTGCTCATTTAACAACCTTGCTTTTTGGAAGGACTATCTGGGTATTTTTACGTGACTTTTAGCAGAGATATAAGCAGTTTGCTGACACTGTGATGGAAGCATGGGCAATGACGCATGCAAAAGGACCACCTCTTTGCTCGATGCAGAATGTTAACTTTGCCAAATCTGTACGCAGCAGTGCAAGCACTCCCGTTAAAACAACATCAGCATGTCTTGCTAATGTGTTGTTATCTATTCGTAAATAATGAACAAAAATACTAGACTCGCACGAACAGTGTTTGTAGATGACGCCCACCCCATAACTCTCGGAGCCATCAAAGCCCCTGACTAATTAATTCCGCCAATTTTTTTACTTTGCACCAAAAGATTGCACGAACATTTCACACGAGGACAGAAAAATGAACAGAAAAACAGAATCTTTATTTTCAAACGGAATTCTTTAGGGATAGATTTTTTGTTTCTTTGTTTTTCCTCTTTTTGACGGATATCAGAGTTCGGTAAAACCCAAACAAAAATATGTAAAGTGCAATAAATTGATGGGTGCCAGCCCTCCTGATGTAATAAACATGTCCCGGCAATTTCCGGAGCTGGTGACGTTGAAATGTGGGATGGTGCAGCCCAAGTGCCTTGGAGCACCCGAGGCACGAGTGGAAACAGTTAAACGCGAACGGTGATAAACCCCTTGGTGCTAGAGAGTAGCAACTTCGAGCAAAACTACATTCATAACCACAAACCAAATGCATTACATAAAACTGAATATACGCAAAGCTTTCATCCAATGGTCATCGTATCTGTGACTTATAATACCTGATATTACAAATAGAATTAATGTCGCAAAGTTCCTCTTCGAAGATATTTTTGTCTGCGTATTTCTTGTTCTTCTGGCGTACATACATATATACTACCCTTATTTAGCTATGGCTACTTGTGTCTCCCTTGCAAAAGGGAGAATGAATGTCACCAGACTTTCACTCCTTCACCGTGTAAAAAAGAGAATTGAATCAATATGCTCTCTCTCAGGTCACCCCGAGCCTGTCTGTCAGTGCCTTGCGGGGCTGGAGCACAGCTTCCGGCGAAGTAGACTGGCACTCGTTCGCCACACCAGGTTCCCAGGCAGCCCCTCCCGGCGTGCGCGGGGAGGAATTTCCGCTCACACGGTATGCCGGTCGGTGCGACGTTTGTCTTGGCGGCTGCCCGCGGGCTGAAAGGCAGTCTTAATCCACAAGCTTGCCCCGACACCATCTTCTGCCACTTCCACTCTCTCCCTCTCCACGTCTAAAGAATGCCCCCCCCCCACCTCAATTCCCATCGCCTGCCAGATCTCCTTCTCGCCCTTCCTCCTCCACCAATATCTAACATTGGCACCTCCACATTCTCCACTGGCTTTAGTCCGTAAACAGAGCCTCCATTTTGAGGGCAGGGCAGCCCAGTTGTCAACGTGCTTGCCGCTAAGCCAGCAGTTCGCACGTGGTCAGCAGTTCTGTTCTGCAGCTGCCTGCAATTTAACAACAAGCGTACTCTCTCCCGTGAAGTGAATGTTAAAGCCAAGGCATTAGACTAGCATTAATTCTGCCAAGCGATGCTATTGTTAGAGTACTCGACTCACAATCAGAAGCTAAGTTGGTATTAATCCATTGGGGGTCACCTGGGCTAGGGGTCAAGGTAACCTGTCATCCCTCTGAGGTCAAGAACATGATTACCACTTTAGCGGGAAGTCAAAAGTGGTTGCTTTTCCCTTGCTCAGGGCTACCAAAGAGTATCCGTGCGCAATCCTCATTTGAGCACAGACACACGTGACATTTTATTAAGCCACGTTCATTTTGTGACAGTGCCATCGTCAATTTTACCCACAAACAAATTGACAAGGCCAAAAAAGCCTCTACTACATCAGCCTCAACAGGCAATCAATTGATTTGGCTTCGCGCACCTTAACGCTGATCACCTTCCTGTTACTATACCGCCAATGAGGCTAGGGACAAAATGCTGAAAATGCACAGCATCTCAAGGAAGCTTAAAACAACACCCAATCTGGGCAAACGAATAACGTGTGCATCACGGACGGATTGTGCAGCTCGCGTTGTACAAGATGTGCTGCGACCACTACAGAAGCGGCGTGGTGGCTACCGCCTCTACCATCGGCCGACACCTTCCCGGGTTCTTCCCAAAACAACCGCCGCTGGTGGCGCTGTGCGCCTGACGTAAGCCACGTTGGCTCATCCAGTGTTCCACTGCTAAGCGTGGGGTTATTTTTCTTTGCACGTGTTTTTTTTATTGAAGGTAAAAAAAAAGTGAAGAAAATATTTCAATTATTCATTCCATCAAAAGGCAAAGTGTAATCAAAACAGGATTGGGCCCAGGAAAAAACCGACACAGGCTTTTCTTATGGCCCCAGTGTACGGAGCTGGAAGAAATTTCCCTTTCTTGCTTTGGCAATACAGCATCCATCACCATTCATGACCAAAAATAACAATGACAGAATTAAAGAGTGGATCTTGAGAAAAGCCTGTGGTGTTACTACCACTGAAATGAGCCAACACACACAAGATCCCCCCTGTAGTCTGGATCGACTGCTGGTTGCAAGCACTGTTTGCGAGCACCTATCACCCCAAGAATAGAACGCAAGATGTCGGCACCTTTGTTTCCCCAGCGATGATGATGATGCTGATGCTAAGCTCCATCAAACTATGACAGAGCATACCGCCAGCACTGGCTACGGATCTCGACACATTGAAACCTCTCACTGCAGGAAGTCATTCCAAATCGTACTTGCTGCTGTTTGCATTTCTCAACTACAGTGAAACTATCCGCAAATCGTGTTATCCATGGCACTAAAGAAGAACCATGGATACTTCTGTTATCTATGGGTGCATTTTTCCGAGAAGAAAAACAAGCTTGAGAAAATTACTAAATTAGCCACTCATTTTCTGTTTTGTTGAACCAAAAATGTTTTGCAAATGGATTTTTAATGGCATTTTTTTTAAAGCAAATGTTTAAGGGGAGTGCCAACCCAATTCCCCAAACAGATCAGTTACCAGTGATGAAACCATCACTCCTTATACTAGATAACCTAGTTTAATCAAGGGCAGCTGTCAGATTTGAACTCACGTTCCGTTCTAAGGCATACAAGCTCAGTGCCCCGACCTTTGACCCACCCAGCCACCTCATTAACAACCCTAATTTAGACAAACACTCGAGTGCAATTCAAATCCGAACTAGGCTCAACCCTGCGTCGTTTCAGAGATCTGCAATCAGGGTGATTTTATTACAGGCTGAGATGAAACTATCAAAGTATCAAATGTCCCTCGGGAATGTATCGCCAGGATATCTGCCGCATTTGACATGGCCAGTAACCCCCCCCCCCCCCCCCCCAACTGGCCTTGGTTCTTCATGCCACCTCGGTCAAAGGGATTTTTAGAGAAATCGTGGAATATTTGAAAGCAACTCCGCAGAGATGTAAAGACAGACTAACGCTCACAGGGAAAACAAGCAAGCGATATGTTCTATAGACAATCACTTGAGGTGTGCCAACAATTAGCACGACAGCTGCCTAGGCGTTCACGCTTCAGCGGTTGACTGAGAGAGATGTCAGTTGCCTGCAGCATTCGGACAGGCTCTGCACATGTAATACGGCGAAAATAAACAGTGCCAGTGGGATGTCATGCATCTGCCACCAGGTCATCGACGAGAAAGCCGCACAGCACCCAAAAAATGTCCTTGTTGACTTTGACTCGTTATCGGTTTATCGCACAATCTCACTCTCCAGAAAGCCCCGGGACAGATGGGGTGAAAAGTAGGTGGGTGGGAAAGGGTAAATTAATCTGACATTTTGGGTTCATGTCAACCACAGTACGTGTCTGTGTGTCATTAAGCAGTATGGCATGTTTCTACCAATACTGCATACTGTTAGTATAGAGCATATCTTAATTATCCTGCAAAAAGTATGTGGCACATTGTCAGAGTGGGCGTGTAAACCTGTGCGATTAAAAAACGGCATGTGGCGAGTCGTGCTGCTGCCAAAGAGCGCAACTCACAATTAGTCAAAAGTTCAAATGCAAGTCTGGAGGTGAACTCAGCCCGTCGTCCACTCTTTGGGGTTGTTAATAAAGAGTGCCCCTTGGTGTGAGTCAACAGTTGGTGCCATGTGGAGAGGGTGGCCCCCAGCGAGGAGTACCACCACCATCCATTCATTCATTACTCACTTTGAGCAGTGGCAAGTTGTGGTTATGAATGTAGATACGTTAATGCTTTGTGGGTGGGCGTTTAACGTGAAAAACTAGTGCTATTGTGTAAAACATGGTATCCTGCTAAAAGTTACAATCACCATTGCAATGACAGTTTATGATGTAATTACTTTACAGACTACTGGTATCATTGCTGGGAATATAAAAATATAATAATGAACTTAGTTGTATTGGAGACAACCATTGGAGACAGATGCATCTTTAAGATGCCATTATTTAAAGGTGTGTTAAAAAAAACATTTGCACCCAAAGCATTGGCATCACATTCAAAGACTCAAGCATTCTTGTTGATTGTAAATTATATCTACCATGAAATTGAAGTGTTTTCAAAGAGACACATGGCTGTAATAAATCTTATATTCGATTCGGAATAAAATCACTTATATATATAAGCAGCAGTCTTGCTGTACATTTAAATTCAATACAAAACGTTTAAGACAAGCTGAGTGTATTTCACAACAGTGAGAAATCTGAACATCTATTGTTTATCTGCACAATACCCAGGCATTTGAATTATGACAATTATTTTTATTTAGCTGATAAAATTGTCATCCTATAGAGGACAATTAGAAACTAATGACAATTAATTACATGAACTGATTAAATAAATTAATAAAGAAGACTGAAAAGTTGTACTCGAAGGATTGTACAACTTAAACATCACTTTATTTAGCTCATATTTATCCAACCAAGCTTAGGAATAAATTAAGCACTTACTCACCTGGGGATTGCATGTTGGTACTGTAGTATTCCACATCCTGCACAACACAAACACATCGAAACCACACACTGCCATTAGAACACTTTTAAACACAACATCCAACCACAACATGTTTGCTTGATTTCGCAGTGGGCTGATAGAGAACATTAAACTTTACAGTGGTGCTGCAGGTGTGCTGTACAAACACTATTACATTTTCTTACAATGCAGCATGATGAAATGTTAATGTTTGTAGCAGCAATGCAATGAACTCTACATTAGTATATATTAACATCATCATTAATATACAAATTACAGTCTTCATTATAATGTAGTTTCACTATGCCACAAGGTACTGTACAAATCGGAGACAACGTTTACCCTGGTCAAAGAGTTAAATTCGTTTACTTAGATTAGATCCCAGAGAAGGTATTTGGACAGGTGGTGCTGTAATTAGATCACTTGGCATCTAATTGAAAGTTTGCAAGTTCAAAGCTTGGTCACGGGTCGACTCAGCCCACCGCACCTCTTGGAATTTCCACAACCGCCTCAAGGTGCCCAATGGTGATGCACACTGCTCCATTTAGCCAACATTTTGTGAACAATACGAGCAAATTGCGAATATTTTCAGCTAACATAATTTTTTCAATACAGTGGTTGGAGCTATCTTTCCCTCAACGAATGAATCCGGCCACATATCTCATGTCAAGAATATCGCGCTCATAAATAGAAGGGGACGATGTGCTTAGCGGAATCAGTGTTTGATAGCAGCAGCTGGCACCTGCCCATTTTTCATAGGGCCCTTGCCCTGCTGATGATGTTGCTGCTGCTGCTGGCGCCGCTGCTGCTTGTCCTGCGTCTTCTCCTGAAGCTTGAGCCGCAGCGAGTGCAGCACCAGCTCCACCACGCCGGGGCTGCACCCCGTCACGCTGCGCACCACGTCCAGCGGGACGTGCATTCCGCACAGCTTGGAGAGCACCTTCCTGTGCACACGCGCACAAGCACGAGCACGCACCAACACACTCGCGAATACACTCGCACACTCACCAATACACATGTACACTAGCTAATACAACCGCCAACAACCGCCATTCGCCACTAAGTGGCGGTGACGTTACCACGGCGCTTGTGCCAAGCACGTTAAGGCCACGTGAAGTGTCGAACGCCCGCTGGCAGGAGGTCACGAGGCAGAACCAGGTGCCATGGGTCGACTCACTGAGGTGACCGAGATGAGTGGCTGATGCACCACCTGTGCAACCTACTGTGCCAACTTGCTGTGTTTTATCCGCCCGGCACTCTGCTCGTTGTTGTGAGCGTCGCTCCTCCGCCCCCATGTAACACGCATTTCTAATAATAGGTTCCATTTTGCAATGTAAATAACAAATACACTCACACACTCACTAATATACTCGCACACGTACACTCCTAAAATCACTCGCACACGAGCACGCACGAATACACGTGCACACGTACACTCGCTGACGCATTCAACAATTGCAAGTCAAGTTAAAGTGTCCCCCCGCTGAAATGTACGTATCTATGTATCCATGTTGAACTTCTTTCCCACCGTACGTACCCAACCGTGCTAATCGGTAGTGTTCATTTCCATCGCTTAATACTCACGGATGGATTTCCTAGTTCAGAGCCGAGGCACATATGTTAAACATAATAATTTTTGACGTTTTTTGTTTATTTTTAAAGTTACCTATTATTACTACCTTAAATGTCATTTTTAAACGTCTACAACGTAATATAAACCAATATTAAATGTTTGTGTCCCAACCTTTCTTAAATTTTTTGGGTGTTTTCAAGAGACATTGTAAAATTCTGCTCAGAAGAAAGGACAGCCTAAAATATTGTCCATGCGCAGCCCTTGTGTAAACAAACCCACCGTGGGCTGAGGACCTCCCCACATCGTGCTTGTCACTGGGGTTACTTAACCATGCTTCACCATGCTGGTGAGTGTAAGGTGGTGAAGGCGAGGAACACAGAGTACAGTACAACAATGGGGTTTCTCTGCACTACCGTCCGCGCCACACCTGGCGAGAGTCACCAGTCGTCGCTCTACGCTTGCACACACCTGTTGAGCGTATTCCAGTTACTGATTTTTTGCTGCACTGAGTTGGCCGGGATGTAATTGTGCATCTCCACGATCCGGGGAAAGAAGTGCTTGACCAGCTCAGCCACCATCACTGCGTTACACGCACAAGGGGCGCGAGAAAATGGGCAGTGAGGGTCAACGTTTTTAGAGGTTTTACGATGTGACATCATAAACACTGTAAAGAGAAGTTGACTTGGGCAGGGCACGTCTCAAGATGGGACAATAGACGGTGGTCAGTTAATGTGCAGGTTCTAGATGGATTGTTGCATTGTTGGATGATGAGATGTTGCGGCATTCATCCAGCAGTGAATATATCATGGTTGTTAATAATAATGATGATGTAGGATGTGGACAGTATAATGTAGCATTATTTTCTATTCACTGTATATACTGGGGATAATGCAATTAACACAAATTATGCAACAATTGGAAGAAATGTAGGTAAAAAATACTTTCTCAATCACAAACTATCATGTAATGGTATGACTGACATATTTGTAGATTTCAAAAAGTATGGCTTTTGAAGTAACACAGTAATTTATTCACATTTTGAGCAGTAAGATAAACCCACTGGACTCTTAACTCGGCATGTAACTATGCACTTATTGATTTAAATAAACTCTTAAGACTCTCAATGCGTGCATCAATTGTGCTTGTGAAAATCAATTAGCAATGCGTTATAAAGTATAAATCACATGCTAATAAAACCCTCCTACAATTTGCCCCGTGGGATGGATAAAACCGTGCAAACAGCACAAAAATAATACCGTAAAACAAATGTGACGGCTCAATTTAAACCTCGAATCAAATCATGACCGCAGACTTTTGACAATTCATTAACTCACTGCTAGGGAGGGGGCTACATTGTTCTCTGCCTATTTGTTGCCAAATGTTTTCACACAAATGTGAAATGTCATTCTGCTGTGGTCACAGGTGCATGCGTAAGCACAAGCCTCGGTTCGCGAGCTACACAAATGATGTCATTGCGGAGCGTGTGAGATGAATATCGCATCGCACCTGCACTGTCGCGAACACGAGGGCAAGTGAACATATTGGCCGGCACTTAATGAGGCCGGCGACTGCGGCTGCTGCTGAGTCTTCGTGCACTTAGGCGGCGCTCGGCTCGACAAGCCACTCAAGTGAACTCCAACGCCAGGAACAGGATGGAAAGTCTGAACTCCGACCATTGGGTGTAAACATAAGGGGAGGTAATAATGCCACGGCAAATATGGGCCTGGCACAAATGTGTTTCTATTTGCTTAAAGCACACTACAAAAACAAAGTAAATGTTTTCTGCTCATTTCACGCAATATATTATACAGACACATTACTTTGGAGGGATGGAAGCATTGCAAAGCACACGGCCATGCAGTAATGCTACCCTCAAATTAATCACTGGTCTAAAGCTCTATGAAAGTGCTTTGCTCCATTAGTTTTGCTATAAAACATTTTGGACATCCCTCCAATCAAATCTCACCCTGGACACAGTGGTTGTGCTCTACACTTTGAATCGGGCAACATGAGTTCGACTCCAGGACACAATCCCTCTGAGCCACTATTAGTGTCCATATTTTAAAAAAAAGTGTCTCGCTGCTCTGAAGAAGAAGCCGATTTCATCATAGCCGTCCTTTGCCAGGATTCGAACCCCAAATATCAGTGCCAGGCCCGGCTCCAGCTCCTCTCGGATTTGTGGGAGTGGGGGTCGACCAAGTGAACTTGGGTGGTGCCAAAGGGACATTTGCAGTGCAGGGCTCACCCCAGCAATTTAGATTATTTTGATGCTATAAATGTCCACACGATAAGCCACTTTGTGGAGCTGTCATTTGTGGCAAGGTAGCTTCTGAAAAATAAGCCAATAGCCCAGTGGGCTTTACCTGGTTAGATAAAAAAAAGTTTTATTTTATTTGTTGATTGTTTTACTGATTTGATTACATTCTTCTATACTTTGCACTCCTATCGTTATTTTGCATCGTTGTATCATTGTGACGTTCGGACCCGACCCTGACCGGACATCAAGAGCTTCACAGCTCATCGGATTCCTCCTGCGGTCTCAAGAAACATTCCCATTCTGATTTCAGCCGCCCCGTCAAGCACCGGTCCTGACTCGGGTCCCCTCCACAATTAGCGAGGGCCAAGCCGACTGGAGGGGACACGCGAGCCGGGGGGGTGGGGGGCGGCCCCCCACGCCTCTCGCCACCGCAGCGTTACCGCCGTCGCTGAAGTCGCGGGCGATGTTGCGCTTGGGCCGAGACAGCGGCACGGTGTCGATCCACGCGTAGAGCTCCTGCAGCGCCTCCTCGTCCATGCCGCCCTCGGGTCCCATCAGCCCCGAGGAGAGGGACGAGGAGGACGAGGAGCCCTGCTGCCCGGGCAGCGCGCAGTCCCCAGCACGCCGCTGCCGCTGCTGCTGGCTTACTGTGGCCATGGGACAAACTGTGATGAGCCCGTTGCCAGAGACACGCACACGCGGACACAGGCAGAGAGACACGCACGGACACACAGAGCTCGCCTCGAACTGCCCAGGTGCTTGTGAGCTCGTCCGCTGCCCAGAAAGCCGACTGAGTGCGGCGCGCAACGCGTTTGTTTACGCGCCGTCGCTATGGAGACGGGTGGGGGACACGTGCGTTGCGAGTGTGTGTACGCATAGGGATATGTGTGTGTGTATGCATAGGTGTATGTGCGCGTGTGTACGGGGAACGGTGGTGTAGCGGTTAGCGCTACACTGCACTACGAACCCGGCTACCCAAGTTCGATTCCCGCTCACGGCCAACACACACAGTGACGATTATCTGAACCGGTCCTGGGTCTCCTCTAGGTCGACTCAGCATCAAATTAGTACTTGGTGCGGTGTGTAAAACTCATTGCCACTGGGGAGAAAAAGGCGGCCGGGCGTGGTGCTGGCCGCCCACCCCCTCGTGTGTCGTGCCGGCCTTCGTTAGTTGCTCGCTAACAGAACTTGCCCCAACAGTCTGTTAACGGGTAATCTTTGTCTTTGTGTGTACGCAAAGGGGTGTGTGTGTGTGTGTGTACGTGTCGGTGTTTGTGTATGCATGTGTACGGGCTGGAGAAGAGATGGACCGATAAGGTACGGGTGGATTGTGGAGCTGAGTGGACTTGCCGAAGACTGGTACCAGCGGTGTCAAGATCGACCTCGGTGGAGGAGGTTCGTGAAGGACGCTACTACTCAGCAGTTGGAGGCAGTCGCCCTCCAACAACAATGGAGGGCAAAGGAGCGACGCTCACAACAACGAGCGGACTGCCGGGTGGATAAAATGCAGCAAGTTGGCACAGTGGGGGGCACAACTGGTGCGTCTGCCAGTCACCTCAGTCAGTCACCTGGGTCTGTCCCGTGACTTTCTGTCAGGGAGCCTTCGACACCTAGCCTGGCACAGGCCACTTAGTGGCGAATGTTGGTGTGTGTGAGCGTTCATAAACCACTACGTTACCGCTCCACCCACATACTGCAAAGTGGCACACGTATCCGAGATATGGAAATGAGCACACACATTGTGACAGCTACAGCGTGATAAGTGTCACTTAAAAAAAAACTGGACAAGTGTGTTTTTGTCACAAACCAACGGTTTGTCCATTTTATTGTACAGTACAATTGCACAATTTTTCTCAAGTCTTGGGCATTTGCCAGCACAGCATCGGTGTTTAAAATGCACGTAATATTTTTTTTACAAAAAAAATTGAAACGAGGAAAAATAAGATTAATTGTAAAAAATTCATCGGATGAATCAAGTAAAAAATTGAACCGCAAAAATCTTTCTCAAGCAAATATTAGTTTTGAAAAATATCTAAAAGGTCTATGGATGAATAATCCATTCAACACTAGTTTAACATGGCTGTGTAATAGTTACATGTTTACAGCTGCAAATTAATAGAAGTCAGAGCACAAACATTGAAAATAAAGCATTGACATTAAGTAAAAAAAGAGCTAGTTTCTCTGTTGATTACTCATTTTTAGCTTAAATATAACGAGTACCTTCATGGAAATGTTGGTAAACCCAGCTGCAATAATGTCAAATATAATACTGGAGCAGATGTTAAGACATCCATATGGAGTAACCGATCCTTCATGCACCATAGATTTTTTTAAATTATATAATTCTCTCCGAGTTCGCAATCGATGGCTACTCACTCTTAACATTTCACTTGGAACACTCACTCTACATACTGCATGTATTTTTGGCAGAGGTTGCTACCAAGCTTGGATGATTAATTTTACTGACCAAATCACCTGCTTGACAGAGGGGCACGTGATGTCACACAAACGGCCAACCAATCCGACGCTTGGTTCACAACTGATACCACTCTGCCATGCTCGCAGTGTCAGTGAAACGATAGTTTTACAAGACAGTTCGTACTTGATTTGTGTCATTATTTTTTAAATGAAAAAAGCAGTACATTTATTCCAAATATGTAATGTTGATTTGACAAATTCCACCAATAGGTCCAACAAGCCCGCCAATACTGTTGTCTAAGCAAACTCGACCTAATGCAGTCTATAAACAGACGAACTGCTTGCCACGAAATACACGTTATCCAAGACACTCCTAATAAGTTAACACAATTGCTCACATTACTTTCTATAATGTAATAACCATAAGGCAGCAACGTTTTATGTTCTTTTCCATCATCTCACCCTGGTCAACCCACTCCTGCAACGAGTGTGACAACAAAACAAAACGAGACGTGATCGGTGGGTACTGGGTAAAGTCCTGGCAACGTTACAGACAAAACGCTCAAGTTTGCCGGATCGTTATGACCCATCATTGTGCACACGCGCTCCGCCCCAAGGTTCATTCCCAGATGAACAGGAAAGTTGAATTTTAGCCAGAATAAGCAAGCACTCGTGCTGAGCAAACACAGCGGCACGGCGATGGTGTTCTTCAACGGTCACAAAGTACGTTGATGCATTTTCAGCTTTTATTAGGCACGGCTGAAGCTGCAATTTTGTAGGCACAAGACCAGCACACTAGAGCCCATTCAAACAGTTTAACCAGTGCAAAATGCATCTATAACAGAGACATACACTCTTACAAACTGAGACACCATGTAAATGGCCCGTATACGCCTAATTGGTCAAAGAGTGCTCATTATTGCATTTCATTACATTACATACGTGTGGCGGTGGAAAACTGCAATAGGCTTTATTTTTAACCAGAACACTCATGCAACGGTAACATGATGATATCACATCAGTCAGCAGGTACTAACTGTGTTTTGCAATGCTATACAGTGCTTTATACTTTAATGAATTTACCATAAAATAGTAGAGTGGCAATGAGGGGCTAGTGACTGAGTTCCCTTCTAACCAATCAATATGTCAATATTTTAATGTAAGTTCATGGGGTTAAAGCTAGGGTTAAAAGCTCACAGGACCAATCTACGACATTTAGTGCAGACGACGTCTAAAAGAACACGATGCCTCCACAGAACACACGGGGGCTTCGTTAGTTTCAAGCAGAAGGCGCATTAAGAGGCGCTGTATACAACGTAATTTGTTACAATTATAATACTAGCTTACATCACAAAATACAAGAGACCATAGTGCATGGCTCACTCTGCCCTACTTTATTGGCATCATACCTGAGTTGCAGGTCTTGCTGTAGATAGAGTGCCGCATTAACACATGGAGCTCGAAATACAACCTTATAGTGATACAATGACAGGGCCACCAGGGCAAGGCTGCTAGCAGTCACTCAATTCTCTGTCATGTAAAGAGTTAAAGGTCAATGCCACATGAGCTCGACTATACCCAATTCCTTGCGTGTGGTGAAATTGACCTAGGTAAGGCCATTACGGGAAATATAGCGCCTGGGCTAACCTCTGCCCAGCTACGTTTGTTATGCGAACACCATGGCAATTCCAGGGTTTGAAGTTGTGGTGAAACAGTCAACTGGGTTAAGTATCTGTTAACAGGCTTCCATCAATTACTTCAGCACAAGCGATCCAACCCTAACTAGGAACACAACTTGGAATCCCGAACTAGGAATCCAACCATGTGCCACTGAATTGTTAGTACGTCTTTCCAGCATCTCCATCACTGGCAACGGTTCGTCATTTGAAAGTGGGTCTACCTGGAGGAGGCCTTCAGATACAATTCACCTCTGAGTGGTCATCACCATGCATTAATGTCAGGCTGTCAATCTCAAGGTGGCTTTCATCAAGACAGTACTAATAATTTCAAGCTGGGTTGACCTTGTGTAGATGGAGCAGCAGAGCTGTTCTACACCGGCTATAGAAGCAAACGTTGACTTGGGAGTAGTAACTTGAGTGCAGTGCATCACCCAGTTGCTATGAATCACCTTTACCCTCTTCTGAACTGCCCAGAGTAAACAGCCATCTGTTTCGTACAGCTCGTAATTAATGTAGCTATTGCAAACAGACAGGAAGGTCTGACAGCAGCATCCCCCTTAGCAAGTTTACTGCTGACGATCTCACTTTCTCTTTATTGTCTGCCGTCAGTTAGATAAATCAAAATGTGCTCCTCGCAAGCAGGCCAAGGGGTTGGTGCTGGTGCATTGCGGTAGTCTGGCGTTTGTTTCTCGAGCGAGAGAAGAGTCCTTTCCTTTTGCGCGAGGCAGACCTGAATAAGACCATGTAAAATAAACAACCACGATCATTGATCACTGAAGACACTAACAAGACACCAGGCAGGCACACTGCAGCAAGCCAGCACAAATAACAAGACAACTCATCCATCTGTGTTATGAGCTTTTTATAGTGCAACAATTGGGGGTGGGGGGGAGATGGATGCATTTAGGAATTTGGGGTTAGATCAAAGAGTAGTGCGATTAAATATAATCGATTTGTAAAAATCAATCAATTGTATTTAACTACGGAATAATATTTCCTGCTTGACAATGGATAGGATACATGAATGTCATTACCACCACAGTAGACTGGTCATGTTAAGTGAAGGTCACACAATTCCTGCGGAACCAGCCACAGAGAAGACATCGAAAGCACCCAGCTGTGATGGGGTGGCTCTTTGAATGGGCAGAATAAGAGACGGTGTACTTCACGGCCGATTCCCTGTGCTCGTAAAAGTGAGATCACTCACACGTGTTTGGGCCAGACTTGGCCAATTAACTTGATTAATGGACTAACTAGTCGTGGGCGCCTGAAACATCGTATTAGTGAGGTTGCAAATTATGCCATTTTATAAAGAAAATATCTAAATTATGGTCGTAAGTTTTTTTAAAATAATAAATCTGAGTGAAAATGTTAATCAAGTCATGTTCATATAAAAAACCCATCAGTTAACAACTGTTAAAATACTGTAGATACTTTAATTTATAACACCATTCCGCCATTTTATAGAGTTATACAGATGTATTCCACCATGAAATAACATGATTGGGTCACATTTAAATTTTTTTAACGACAGTTGCATTAGTTGTATTTATTCAGAGTAACCAAAATTGTGTTTTTTTTTACTTTATTTTTTTTATTTACTTAAACTTGTGCCGAAAAATAATAAATGTCCTGATAGAAAAATTACGTTTATTGCACCATATACTGTAGACTTATTTCATTACGTCTTCATAATTAAGTTTTTGTTTGTAGTCTAGTTTCCCGGGCACAACATGAAATATGAACCTGTGGATTGCACCATCGCTTATCGAGAGGTTTAATCACCGATGTGATGATCTACGGTATATGTGCATTTTTAAGCCATTTATTACGGCATGAAAGGTGGCCATATTAAAATAAAACGGACAGTGACACTTAAATCAAAGCACGCGGTCTTGGTAAATAATAGTTAGCAGATTTACATGGTGGGTTGAAGAGAACATGGGGTTCAGGTGGAATTGCGGATGTGAGTCGCACTGCAATATATGGCACTCTGGCAAGGCCCATTGAAATCCTACACTGCTTCAGTCTTCTACTGAATGTGCACGAGTGAGTTGTGTGTGCACACTTAATACCGTCAACATTTAAACATTTAGCTTACGTCTCACTCTTGTGTCGAGGTTTAAACATCACCGAGGAAAGTCTCACTGAATCTTTATGACTATTTGTCCATAAGTGTCCTTTTTATTACAAATCTTGTCCTGTTTCAATTGAGAAATCGGTTGACCAGAGGTGACCCTGCACCAGCAGTGGAAATTCCACATTAACATGGCAGAGACAACAATGTGACAAAGTTGAATGGTCAGGGCTTAACCCATGACCCCCTGGTTTCAATAAAGTGAGTATCACTTTATGGTGAGACAGCAGTGGTTGTCTTAGGGATAAATTTGCATAATACTCATGATGAGGAATTGGCCTAACATATATAAGCAACGTCACTTCTGAAGAAGCCTTGAGAATCAGTGAGGTTTTTCTATATGACTACATCGCTTATTATTCTTATGGGCTGAGACAATAAACACTGTTAATTTATCTTTTAGAAGATTGGTTCCCAAAGGGGGAGGGCTCTGAAAGTCCACAAAGGACTATACATATATGTATGCACTCATGCGAATAGAACAGAAATACTCCAAACAAGCATGCTAAGTTACAGAGCAATACATGGATGAACAAGCAGTTGGCATATGCACACGATGTCTGCACGTCCATCCATTTGACAGCTCTGTCATTAGCTGAATTGAGATCACAAGATCGCATTACTCTTGAGTCACCGTTTTAAATTGAAGGTCATTGAGATGACACAGCATCGACTTCAAAGTGTTCACAGTTCACGAAACGCCAGAAACCAATGCTCCAGAATCCGTCCCCAAATATTAGATTTTACATCTTTTTTCATATTCACCAATGAACACATTTTTGCAGCCTATTTACAAACAAGTTTATAATTACTGCATTAGTAAAACATGTCAAATGGCACCCTGGAGAGGCATGTTTAGTGGAGTTTTGGATTTCCCTGTTCAATGGTTAACCCTCAGGTTAAATCAATTTGAAATTTTGCATGTATAGCAATACCATATAGCAATGCCTGTTCCACATCCGAATGTGGATGAAATTCCATTTGCACTCAGTCTGACAATGACAAGGATGTCTTTTTCCCCTACCCTTTAAATCACCTTTGTGATGTGCTATGCTGGAGCCTGCACATTCAACCAGAACGAACATCCAATGGATGTTGAGACTAATGGAAATCTGCAGCAGCAACAGCAGCAGAATGATTTTATTTTAAATCGCTCCATAAATTTCATAGAAAGTGGTTATTTTCTTTGGCAGCCATCGCAACCATTTAGCAACAAGCGCCGTGAAATGTTTACCCGAATTAAAACCCGTCAAGAGATAAATCTTCTTCATGCAACTGGAACACTATTGTTAAAACGTGGCTCTTTTCTAATCTAACTTTACGCGTGCAATACATCACATCCACGCGGCATGTGAGATGCATCACGGAAGTTCCACAGCGGTGTGAACCAGGACTACCAATTCTACAAATGCACATTGTGTGTCAGTGTGCTGAGCTCATCTCAATTGGGCATGCGATGCACCAGGGACGGGTTTACGAGCTCCAGTCACGTAGGAGGAGGTGCACTTGGGTGAAATTGGTGTTTGCAGTGGAAACACGTGCCGGAATAAACAATATAAAATTTTGATCAAGGCAGAGGTGATTGGTTGGCTGGGACGGCTCACGCTCCGTGCACGCGAGAACACTGAGCCTGCACTCTTGAGACTTCACATTTGATCTGTGGACACAGCCCGGCACGAAGCCACGATGCCCCCATGGGTGTTTGTTCATCCTTCTTGGGCGAGTTACAAATGATTTAGCAGGGTGGAGCTGCGGGTAGAGTGCTAGACGCGCCATCAGAGTGCACGAATCAAAATGCTGGCTGGAGATCAATTTAGTCCATCATCCCTGCAGGGTCGTTAAAATCAGCACCACCTTTTTGGGAAGTGGTGGTCTTTCTTAAGCGAGACTGCTCTCCTCTCTCTGTGGAATTTCTGATACTGGCTGAGGATCACCAATGACGATGATCCCAGCCAACGCTTGCAAGAGCGTGGGAACGCTTTTCATTTTTTTTGAGTAACCGATGGCCGCACAAAATAAGAAAGAAAAAACGTGGTTTTACAATGAATCCAACCCCAGCTCTGTCATAAGAGAGCCCCTTCGTTGCATGAGATAGACAATTGAAGGGCGCTGTATTTCTGCCTTTTATGTCATCTGAGTTATTAACCTACAACACATGCGGCGCATTCATTTAAACAAAATATCCATCGCTACCATGGTGAGATGTTTAGTGTGCGATGTGTTGTGCTGTGGAAGTGTGGAGACTGTGTAACAGTTTTGTTTTACACAGCTTAAGGCATGGCTGTACACACATATGGCAACAGTAAATGTCTTCTTCACCGCTGTAGAAATTCAACAACATAGTATTGAGATGACGTCTATCGTGTTCTCTTGTGAAGGCACACGTTGGAGTGCAGGAGGAGATTTGAGAGTGGCTGATACAAGAGGAGGTTTACCAAGTACCACTTTCAAACAACGTGAGCTTTGGGTGCCCATGTCATACAAAGCTCAGGGGTCCAATTTCTTCCAGGTGTATCTGCCCAAGCATTCAAAACGAAACGTAAAGACTTACACCATCAGGTGGAGTAAAACCGAAATGGCATTCTAAGATAATATTTCACTATTTCACTGAGCCTCAAGACTTTATCTGCAATGTCTTTCTTCACGATATTGGAAATTCCCTTATTGCATTTCTGTCAGGTATGGGCGGAAACTGCCGACAGAGAGAAAACCCATGCACATGACAGATGAAACACTAAAACTCATAAGAGTTAGACACAAAACATTATTTCTGCAGTTGCACGCATCATATGGGAACTTTACTGCTCAGCAGTCGTCTGATGCAGGCTCCATCTTCGTTCAAGCAACAAATCCTACCTCCAGGTGACTGGCCTACGGGGGTAACGTCACCACGCGTGGCTGGGTCTATATGAGCGGCACTCGCCGGCGCTTTGTGTCAATACAGTCGGCCACACTTTATGTGGTACGAGTGATTGTAGGAAACCCTGGTGGGGCAGGCTAGCCGCTTGAACCTTGAGGCCACCACGGCTGCTGGTAGTTGCCTGGAGTCGCTCCCCTTTGGGCGTCTCATGGAGAGGAGGCGATGAGTCACCGGGGGCTCGCAGGACGCTGGGCCTGGGACTGCTGTAGGGCAGCCTGCAGCTGGGCCACAATCTACAATCCACATACAAGAACAGTGCAGTGCTCTGGATGGCAGATGGACAGCATCGGGGTCAATAACGTCACCCCTAGGCTTGTTGGCATGGTGCCACCGTGTCATTGAAATGATCGGATTTAGCAACATTTTATTTCGTTAATTTTCCCTCTTATGCCACCACAAACGATGACGATTTGCATTCGTAGAAATCTTTTTCATCCAAATTTAATACTAAATTCATAGCCAAGTCCAAGTGTCATTTGCTCAAACACTTGCGTGGTTTGAATTAAGCCAGCGGTTAATATTTCAAATACCTATAGCAGGGAATGATAAATCCCATAGGCTGGCTACCTCCAACAAAGAGGCACTCATTACTACCAACCCCAGAAGTAGGATGGGCTGGGTTGGTCCTCGATATAAGATTTGAAATCACGGCATTGTGACTCCAATTGTGAGTCGAGCACCATACCCACGGCGCCAACACTGCACCGCACACTTGAAACACATCTCAGAGGGCACGCGAATGACATCGATACGGCGTCATGCTGGGTGTGGGAGTCGTGCACACCTCTAATGCAATGCCTGGAAGTTGGGCTGGTGGGTCAGGGTGCGTGGGAGGAGGGGGGGGGGAGTTTCTGTGGTAATTATTCAAGAGGCACAGGTGGGGCATGTGAAGATTCACCCCCTACACGAGTTGACAGATTATCGTCATTTGGGACCCATGATTCTATATTCTATTCGAGCATTGATTCTTGTTTGCCTTATTTGTACTCTCTTATTGGAACCATCTGTCTGAGTTGATCTCTATTGACTGCTCTGTCGCGTTCTTCCCATTAAGGCAGGAGGTAACATTTCAAGGCTTTGGTTAAAGAAACGTCACGTTTACATTTTAGATAATCCTGCCGTTGTTGTGCGTACGGCAACACTTAGCAAGATAAGAGAAGATTCAATGAGCAACAAAATATCAATGGGTAATAATCACCTGCAGGTTTTTCACCTTTACTGGAGGCAAAGGGCGACCAGGAGCAGGTGGGCACGCCTGTGGAATCACAAACATCAACGTGAACACCAGAGTTTTACAGCAGAGCCAATAACATCTGGGGACAGAACTACATCAAGTGCAGCAGGAGCATTACTAGAGAAATGCACCTCCGATGAACACGGTTGGCTACGTACGGTGCAAAAGAAGTTCAACATACATACAAAAAAACAACATGATTAATAAAACCTGGGATTGCAAAAAAGCAATAAAAAACCTCAAATATCACACAATACGCTACAAATGTCAGATTTTTATGCTAAAATTAAATACATATTTCATGTTTTACAAAAACAACATGTATCACGGATTTCATCCCAATAGGGTTATTGTTAGTCATTTCATGAGGCCTATAAGCACCCTACGGGACCTCATCCAGGCGGCAGCAGCAGCAGCAGCAGCAGCAGCAGCAGCAGCAGCAGCAGCAGCAGCAGCAGCAGCAGCAGCAGCAGCAGCAGCAGCAGCAGCAGCAGCAGCAGCAGCAGCAGCAGCAGCAGCAGCAGCAGCAGCAGCAGCAGCAGCAGCAGCAGCAGCAGCAGCAGCAGCAGCAGCAGCAGCAGCAGCAGCAGCAGCAGCAGCAGCAGCAGCAGCAGCAGCAGCAGCAGCAGCAGCAGCAGCAGCAGCAGCAGCAGCAGCAGCAGCAGCAGCAGCAGCAGCAGCAGCAGCAGCAGCAGCAGCAGCAGCAGCAGCAGCAGCAGCAGCAGCAGCAGCAGCAGAGCCTCTCGCCTTGCCAAGGAACGGCCCAAGCAGCTGACACCACAGACGTCTCTATGGAGCCCTCTCGTTACAAAGACTACCCAGCACCACCTGGTCGTCAATCTAGAGTGGTGTGCCATATGACAATCGTTCAATAAGTTCTAAATGTTATCCATTACAGCTTGGGCCATTCCAAATTCAACTAAACTTAAGATGACCTTATTTCTGCATGCATTATGGGACTTGTGGATGCTGTCGTGGTGCCATGGTTAGCAGTGCACTGGACTTGCATCTTCCGGCGTGGCAGTAAAAACAACTGTGCACATTTTTTTGCATGGCGCTGAACTATTATATTTTATTAGTGACTGAGCGTAGACAATAAACCTCACTGCACTTGAGTGATTGCATTAATCATAGGTGGGCATCTGCATATGAGCACAGGACCTCAGTAATGCATGACAATACTATGACGACATGAAGTCTAGCCACCTAAGCCGCACATCCACCTCACTGCGGTGATATGTTCACGTCATGTGCAAGAGCAGACCTCCATGTTGGAGAAGCAAGCACTACGAGGCATGGCGACTGGCTTCTGTTAGGAATTCAGATGACAATACTGACTCATGCGGTCCTCAATGCTCATGAAAACACATACTGCCCATGCACATGGCAGACACTGGAGAGGAAGAAGCAGTGTCTCAAGAAGGGAATACCTGATCAAAGAAAATAAATGAAGAATTGTAAGTGCATAAAAGCAATAGCAAAATAAGGGCTTGGATTTGAATCCTATTATAATGAATTTCGCAGTGTTCCTTAGCCTGTTACCTGAAAATGTTGGCAATGAATTTCACAGGAGGCGAAATGCAATATGGTTTTTGGTTTCATGTTAAAGATCACCACATTCCCAGACCTAAATAAAACGAATGTCTGGGTAATAAACGTTCATCTGGATGTGAGGATTGTAATACGAGATGACAGATGAGAAATACAAGTACAGGGCTCTGGCAAACCTCAGATTCATGAATCACGAGGAAATGTCTCTGCTCTCAGACGCAAGTGACATGATACAGACAGGAAAAAAGAGAATTTATAAAATTGGAATATGTACATTTGGACACATTTCAACATTGGCTTAACGAGACATGATTTAAAAGATAGTCAAAGCAGTGAATTGGCTTTCCAGTGTAAATGTATATATTTTTAAACAAATGGATACATTTACAATTAAAACATTGTGTAAAGCATCGCTTTCAAATGAAAATACCATTTTGCAAAACACATTGTTCCTCGAACTATTTCTGATTAAACGCAATTTAACGTCGCACGCGCAAACCGATGACCATCCGTGGCCTCTCGCAGAACTCCTGCGAGTAGACGCCTCGGGGCCAGGCAGTAAAAGTGGCACGGCCGTTGCCCTGTTCGTCAAGAAGAGGCCGCGCCTGGCTGGCATAGCGATCTCAAGGACACGTGACACGAGTATGGACCCAGGAGAACGCTGGCAGAGGCATTTGCTTCCTCGTGAATATTTAAGTAACTCGGCGAGTTGTCGACTGCTGTGCCATGACGTCAGAATGAAGTATTGGAAGCGTTTGCCAATCACCTCCTTGCCAGGCTGGTTTCCTGCCGCCAATGTTCTTAAATATTTCATCTGCGATGATACCTATCCATTTACACGCCGCTGGGAAAGCTGGGGGGTGGGGGAAAACCAAGTAAAGTATATAATTTCAGATGACAAGCATATGGAATATTGTGCCGTGTGTATATACAGCGTATAGACGCGAACATTCGTGCAAATGTCTGCTTATGAAAAACAGAGCTGACTCTCAGTGTCGAAAGCTAATTGAAGAAGCTGTTGTCCAAATGTAAATGTTTTTGTTGGCAATGGAAACATCGTTCAAGTCGAATAAGACTACGGGGAGAAATATCTGTGGGGGGGCGAGCAGCGGCGAGCGAGAGCACTCCCCTGCACACGTCCGCACGAGTTACCGGGGCCCGCGGGGGGGCGGCCTGCAGCTGCACGGCCGGCGGCGGCGTGGCCGGCGCCGCGTCCCCGGGGCCGGGGACCTTGCAGGGCTTGGGGGGCGGCGGGGGCGGCACGGCCGAGCCCTGGGGTCGATGCACGGGGGTCGGCGCCGGGTTCAAGGGTCGGAGAGCGAAGGAGGTGGCGGGGGCCCGCCGGGGCTTGAGAGCGGGCGACGGGGCGGACGGGGGAGGCCCGAGAGCGGAGAAAGCGGCGGCCGTGGCCGGGGGAGCGGGCGCGGCGCGCTGGGGCTGCAGGGAAGGCGCCGGCGCGGCTCGCGCGGGTCGGAGGGCGAACGCGGCGGCGGCGGCGGGGAACCGCGGCGGGTGGAGGGGCGCGTGGGCACCCGCCTGCTGAGGCTGCGTCTGGAGGAGAGGTGGTGGCGGGGGAGGAGAAGGGACGCGCGGGGAGGAGGAGGGGGGCACGAAAGGAAACGTTAATGAGCTACGATCTAAAAATACACCGCCCGCTGCTCAATGTCACCGCGGCCGCCTGGGCTTTAGCGCAACTTCACTTTTCGAGGCACCCGTCGTGCGTCGAGAATCATTGCGCCGGATTTTTTACGACAGGGCAGGAAATGTTTTACATTTAGGAAACTGAACGAGAGCCAAGTGTCTATTCGTGTCGAGTGTTTAATTTGGCGAGCCTCGTTTCACTCTCGAGCCATTCGACTCGTTGCTCGATCGCTTGGAAGAAGGTGCCCTGATGGGTTTTCAGGACAGCACTGGAGATGTCCCGGCTGCTCTGTCTTGTTTTTGCTCGGCCCGTAATGCCGCGTGTAGTTTTTGCTCCGGGACCCAGACGCCAGCATTGACGAGGCAGGAAATTCCATCTGACCCCCTTGGAAATCAGCCCCACGAGGCACGGTGCCTTCACCGAGGCTGAGATGCTTGGTAATGGTGTGTGGGGGAGAGCTGAGGAAAATTAGAGCTTCCAAGAAAAGACCTGGACAGCAGCTCCTTTCAACCACAGAGTCCGCTGCACCTACGCACTTTCCGTTGTTGAGTTTGACGGGGCCTTCAGGCGCACTTTTCAGCCAACACCAAGAGTTAAGTCACCGTTTGCCTGTTGCTCATTTGTCAGGGCTTCTATTACGAAGTCAAATTAGATGAAAACAAGGCTCTCCGTGGACTATAGACTTAAAACTTTCGTGACTGCAGAAATTAATATTCTTGGTTCTTTCGGTTAAGTCACTTAAATGGAAAACAAACAACAACAAAAAAAATCTAAAAATGAAAATACAATAAAAAACAATAAAATAATGAAATAATATTTAAATAATAAATTGAAAGTAATAAAAGCACTATTGCCTTGTTCACAAAGTACGCGGTGTTTGCTTTCAAGTTACATTTTTAAATCAGACTAAAAATTACTTAAAAGTAAAAATACTAAATAAAATGATTCCAGCTGACATTTATATGAACACTATAAACTAAAACAAGTATTACGCAACTTAAGCAATTACTTTTTTCAAGCTTAATCCAAATAGTTTATCAAACACATTTTTGTCTTCAAATTTAGTTTCTATATATTATGCATTGCACCAAATGTTTGTGCCATTTATTTCCAGTGTGAAATGTAAAAAAAAAAAGTGTTTTTATTCGCAATCACATCCCAAATAATTGCTGGCATCGAGACATGATGAGGCGAAGTAACGCCATAAACATAACAGACCTCTGTGGCATTGAAATACAAACCCTGGAAGTGGCACACACACACAATCAAAGTGTCTCTCCTACAGGCCAGGTAAATCACAGTTTTCCTTGACGCTACGTTCTCTTTGTGTTCGAATAGAATAGAATTACATTTAAAAATCCGCATACCCTTCAGAGCCAGGCCAAGGTTAAATAAATTTCAGACTTTCGTGAAAAAAATATTTTCCATTTCTGTAAATTACAAAAAGTGCGTACCTCGTTGAATATGAATATAAAAATAACTGTCGGCTCTTTATCAATCCACTGCTAATGAAGGCCTCCCCATGTCGTGTTAGTTCTGGGGAATGCTTTCCCATACTGCACCAGGCTGGTCTCTACAGGTTGCTGAAGTTGTAAGCACAGGGTTGGTTCTGATAAAACTCACCACTGATGTTAGCTCTGGCCTGGAACCAAGTCAGCTCAGTGGGTTATTCAAATATATATTGATGCCTGAATGACAGAGGTGATGATGTTGAGGTTTACTTTTGTTGCACTTCATAACAATAAGAATACATGACGATACAATCTGACGAGACATGCCAACATCATGAAGACTTCATGTTAGTAAGAGAGTGCTGTATGTGTTACTAAAAAAAACAGCCACCGAGCAAGTCTCAAGGTTAATGTAGTTTAACACGTCCTTGGACAGCAAGACACACAGCCCCCTGGGTTCGACCCGAGTTGCATTACAACTCGCTCGCGATGCTTGTTATTTTATAGCCGTTAATGCACGAAACCCTGACCTCCCTTTTCCTGTGTCGCTCCGTTAATTGTCCAATATCTCGCGAAAACTTGGAAAGTGGATTTCCAGGAACACTGGCGTCGAAATAGGTGCGGCCGAGTGTTTATTTTAAAATATCAGCCTCATGAAAACACGACCTGGAATGTGTGTGTTTTTCTTTTTCATTTAAATGGGTGCCCACATCCTGCCCGGAATTTGGCTAAACGCACACCGTACCTCCAGTCCCAGTGAACTCTTAAAGAGGCCACACTGCAACCGATTCAGTGGATTTTACACCAAGTGGATAGAAAATGTGCCAGATAGCCAACGAGCGCAGCCATTTGCCGGCAGTAAGCCTCCCCGTCTTGCCAAAGAAGAGTAGGGAGCAAGCCACGTAGACAGGTGACGCTTGTGGCAGACTGCCCTTACTTGCAATCACGTGGCTGTGAGTTCAAATCCCAGTAGGAGACTTGACTCGGTCCGTCACCCCTCTGGCATGATAAAATAAATAATCACTTTGTGGGAAGTCAGCGGTGGTCGTGAGACTCGCCTTCGACATGGGAATGTGAACCTTTCCGCCACTGTCTCATGGCAGCTAAGAGTGCTAGTTCAGTGCGAATTTGTAGCACGGCAGAGCAATGTTTCCACAAGCCATCCCTCGCTGATGAAACTCATTGAAGTCGAAACTATTCAAAGATCCCTTGTTTAAACACATGCCACCGGGGAACATTCTTGTGGACGCTTGCACATGTATTGCTTGATTCAAGGTTATTTCCGTTCCTAAATTGAACAACCCTTCATAAATATTTATTCATTGTGGAAGGATTTGCAGATGAACAAAAATGACACCATTGTTGATGTTAGAAGGCTGTGCGCTCATGATCATAAGGTCAGGAGATCAAATATGGGTAGAGGTCAACTCGTCCGATCATTTCGTTGCACATCTCGCCGAGAGGTCAACGTTAGTCGTCTCTCAGGGAACAGTCCCTGCCATAGGAATGTAGATTATTAAGCATTGGCTCAAGACCGTGACGATATACAATGAGATCGTTAGTGTATGGGGACTTGAACATAGGTTGGGTGTGTTAATAATTTTACTCGGAACGTGTGTATGAGAGCGGAATGTAAACTGCATATCTGAGAGCGTGGTGTTTGTGGCAGAGTTCGCAACTGAAAATTGAAAGGTTGTGAAGTTTCAATCCTGTTTGGTGGTTAAGTCGGCACATCATCTCTTGGGGGCAGATACAATGCATACCACGGTGTGGAAAGTGAAGAGCGGTTATGCTATACGCAGAATGATCCCTCCTACAAAACCACGTGGATTTTTTCTGTCCACGATCTCAAGAGCCGTCACTGAATACGAGCACCTCCGGGCACGTGTGAACAGACATATCCGCTTTGACTCTTTGACTTACTGGTTTGTACGCTGTGCATCGGCTAACTCATCCCCGACTTCCCCTTGCGGCGCTCCAAGCATCACAATACCTCGGGTGCAGCCGGCGCTTTGCCCTGGATCGCAGGCACCGAGAAGAGGGGGTTGGAGAGGCCCGCGATGCTCCTGGGGTGCTTGGAGCTGCATCTGTCAACACACCCACGGCATCGCAGCAGCAGCACTCGCGCCTCGCACCAAAAAAGCGCCTGGGTTCGATCCTCGACTCGTGCGCCTTTCTGCGTGGAGTGTCTATGTTCTCACCCCCCCCCCCCTGTTCTTGATGGGTTTCCTCTGGGTTCTTCAGTTTCCTCCCAAAGCTAAAAACAAACATACAATGTAACCACATCCCAATGCAAATTACTCAACTGGGATTATACGTAGGAACAAAACGTGGCAGGACCCCCCATGAAAAAGATAGTCTTGAGACTCCGTGTGGTTTTCTAGGGATAAATAAACGAAATAATAATACAAAACAACAAGAACGAGGGGGGCTATGAGAATGAGCCTCTCGCTGTGAGAATTGGGCCCGAGTCTCGCTCTGAAACTCAGCTCTGATGAGTTTCCAAAACTGACCGACCGACCGCATCCCCCCCCCCCTCCCCAATGGCATTGCACAGATGTAACGTGAATCACATGGTCTGCAGTAATCGGCAAATAAGCCTGAGGCAGGCCCTGTTATATTTTATGGGCCAGGTGATGTTGATTATGGGTTGGTGAACTCTAGAGGTCAGTGGGGATCTGACTGCGGCATTTCCCCTTTAGTTTAATCTCTAAATTCCAGCCATATACAGAAAGCCTACGTGAATGAGTAAATGATGTATGTATGTATGCTTATTTATTTGTGCTTATTTATGTATCCGGGCGTGGTACTGGCCACCCACCCCCTCGTGTGCCCGTGCCAGCCTTCATAGGTGCTACTCGCTACCAGCACTTGCCCCAACATCCTGTTGAGGCTATACGGGGTATTTATCTTTGTCTTTGTGCTTATTTATGCACACAAGGAGCCATTATCCATAAACAGCAGTTGTGTCCTATCAGGATGTTGTGCTAAAAGCACAGAAGCAGAGATAGAATTCCTTGCTTTACACAAGACTAAAGATGAATGCTGGATCTTAGAATGTAAAATGTAGCCTCGACCTCCTGTAAGTGAACTCAGTCTTAAACGGTACAATACGTATTGCATGAACAACAGCGAATGGAAGACAAAGCTAGCCGGGCAGTGTGTTAGCTATGCTAAACCTGATTTCCCATGTTCTCGACATTAGATGCTCGCTCGCAATAGTTATCTTCTCAATCTACTTGGCTAATTTGGGAACCGCTGTGTCTATACGTTGATGTTAGTGTATTTTGTGTATGTGCATGTGTGTGTGTATATGCGTGCGTGTGGGGGGGGGGGGGGTTAGCAACACTGTGCTGTAATCCTGGTGACCTGGGTGTGATTCTCAGCCATAAGCATCAATGGCGAGGGAGATATCTGAAGTATGTCTGGGCAACCCCTAGGTCAACGCAGCCCGAAATGAGTTCCGTGTGCAGAGTGTGAACGTCAGCATTGGGGAAACAAAGGCAGCCTCAACACCACCACCAACTTGTACGCAGTGCCAGCCTAAGCAATCGCTCACAGACGGCGCTTACCACATTGGTCTTTGCGGCTAAATGGGGACGTTTATCTTCCAGTGCATGGGCAAATGTTTACGTGTGTGCCTGTTTTCCTGTTGTGTGCCATGTATGAAGGAGTTTTTTCTTAATGCGCAAACCCATGCAACGCGGTGGTATATAGCTGCACTGACCTAAGGTTCCATTTCCTCTAATTAGGAAAGAAATGTGTTTCTGTTGGCAAGCAATTGGAAACCAGACCCAGCAAGGGCAAGCCACAGTTCACTCAGCCTGCAGATAAACGGTTGCCCGGAAAATGGCCGGGTGGCTTAGAGGGCTAATGCCCACGTCAAGGCACTGAGCCAGCAAACGCTAAGAACTTTGGTTTGAATCCAGGTAATCACTGGGGAGTAGTCCAGATTCTCAAGTAGAGCTGAGCTCATGATGTCAGCCCGGTCATTAATAAAATACCATCCTTAACCAATATATAATTAATTTTGGTATTAAGTTGACCAAGCCCAGCTCTAAGTGCTTATGCAGCACATGGGCTGCAGTGAATCAAGTCATCATATTCCGAGCTGTCGAACACAGCCTAGAAAAATATACCCTTAAAGGATGCCTGCCCAAGGCTGGCGATGTTACTTTTGGGTCATCCTCAAAGCTCCTATGTGGTTATGCTGTGCTGCTCGCACTGATGAGGACATGCAAAATAATTGTTGAGAAAAAAACCCAAAATCACTTCCATTAACAGAGGTCAAACTTGCATGCATTCTACACTCCAGTGACGCGTACAATGTTCTGTGCATGTACAGGTGTGAAGTATTTAAAGTAATGGTGTAGCGGTTAGCAATCTATGCTACAATTATAGAGACCCTGGTTCAGGTGCTGGCCATGCATATCCATGTGCATGTGACTAGGCCTAGGCTTCTCCTACATATATTCATATTGCTATAAATGCCTGGTGTGGTGTGCTCATAAGCAGCAGTGGGGAGACAAAGCGAGTCAACCGTGCATCACGCCAGCCACACCACCCCCTCGTCTGCTGTAACACCACTCACGAGCGGCACTTTGCCCCGATGATCTACAAGTAAAACTGTGGGGGGTCTTTGTCATTGTATTTGTATTAATGAAGACCAGCTGGTATCACTGGCCATCGCCAATACCCAACTCCCATGATCACCGTTCGTGCGCCGCTTTCCTGCGCCTCCGGCAGTGGCAGACGGCAGCGACCAGCGCCAACATTCCAGCTGCTCCCAGGGCCAGCGCTAGCGCCAGAACCACTGCACACGCAGTCGCAGACGAGCAGCAGCGGAGAATTAAAACCTGCGGTGGCCACAGGGATCAGGGGACTGAAAATGCTCACGTCAGAGAACAGAGTGGACACCACCGAGATCGTGGGGTTTGTGCCTGGGGTAGCTTCCTTAGTGGATTCTCTCGGCTCGGTTCCAACGCGCACCGCACGTAGCCAACCAGTTAGCACGGTCGGCTACGTGCGGTGTGAAAGAAGCTCAACATACATATATAAAAAGTAGATTGAGTGGAACACGGTACTATATTGGTGTTAATTCGTCATGGAAATTCTTAAGCCACCGGAGAGCCACTTTATTGGTCAGTATTTGATGCACCCCTTGGCCACGTACAAATGATAATGTCACAATCTTGTCGGGTGGTAGAGGCTCAAATACAAGAGTTTTGGCATAAGACTACCAGGTGGCCTAACTCAGTGATTGTGCTCCGGCGAGGCTGGCTTTTGCGATCGGAACGAACGCTTCCGAGAGTGGTGAACACCACCCTAGGCCCAAATGTAACAGTCAAAGTGCCCGTCTCACACGCGTTGCAGTCGACACGACAACGGAGCACAGCAGAGTGGGGGGGGCATGTGAGCGCCGGCACCTGTGCGCATGTGTGGGGTCAGGCTGCTGCAGAAGGGGGGCGCCCAACCGTAGTCGCAGTGGCACTCTCTCTTGTTGTTGCACACCTACACGCACACGCGCATGCGCGTGTAGTGCACGCACAGACACGCAGAACGCGCGCAACCCATCAGCAGTAATAAACATCCCCCTACAGCCAAAAAGTCGTTTGTGGCAAGTGCTGTCAGCAAGTTCCTATTAAGGCCGGCACGGCGCACGGTGAGACCAGCACCTATTACCGGCCACCTTTGTCTCCCCAGTGCTGAAGTTGAAACATTGCACCAGGTACTTTTTCCTGTAGTTTGGTTGGATTTTACTAAAACTGTGTGTAAATGTATTATTGTTTTTTATAGTAGGTCATGTTATCTGCATTATGAGTGTAGTTGTTAATGTTATAATTAGCTTTTATTGTATTTCGTTTAGAATGTATTCCAACTTGAGAGTGTCGTTTTTTTTGTACAGCACTTTCAAATTTCGTTACGAAAGGCAATTTACAAAATGAAGATTGTTATCACTCATTTAAGGCTGCGTCAACATATTTAAGGCTGGACGGTGGAAATTCCACATTTCTATGGCCGCGGCAGGTCACTCTTTCACCTCTGCTGCACCTCTCTCATTTGTAATTCCCCAGCAGAAGGAGCTACAGAGGCGAGCGGCGCGTGTGTGCTCTCAGCAGAGGGTGGAGAACTCAGGCACGCACACGCACCCCATGCCCGCTGCACGTTGCGGAGCAGTTGTGGGCGCCCAGGAGAGACGCGTCCTGGCAGCGGTTCTGGTAGCATACCTGTGAGGAGCAGGACGGGAAGAGGTTTCAGGGAGATTGGGGGAGCAGGGGTTGGGGAGTTTGAAAGGAAAAGCAGAGATAGGTGGGAAATTAGTGTGAAAGAGGGAAGACTCGGCGAAGATCATCGCGAGCGTGGAAATATTGTATCGGGCACGTCGCTGAGTGGGTGGTCTACGAGTCGGAGCGTCGCGAGGCTTCAGCGAGCGAGGCTAGGCCGGCGCTCATCTCTGTTGGCAACACTGAGCTAGCAGTGGAAATCGCATATTCCTCAAGAGAGTGGGGGGGGGGGGGAGGTCAATGTCTCCACCGGACAACAGCTCTGGACTTCTCGCAAAGTGGAATTATTTTTGCCTGGCCCAGGAGGAATGAAGCGTTGTGGACCCTCGTCTGGTATTTGAGCTTCACGGCCTTCTAAATTCAAGGCAACCGCGTCGCATTTTCATCCACGTGACTTCAGACCAATCGGTACAATATCGCCATCGTCGTCGAGCGTGATTGCACTTGTGCCCGAGGGGCCTATGGTCACGCAGCTCCACTCGTTTACTGCACGGCCTGAGGGCAACAAGAATAAACCACGTGAGAGGACTCTCTCCAGACGAAGGGGGAATTCGACAGCGAGAATAAATACACTGAAGATGGATAGAAACGAACAATGACTTCTACGCAAACAAAAGTTTGCGCTCCGCGTTGCGTATTCGGGTCGTGCAACGCGTTTGTTAGGCACGGTGTCCGACGTTTTGCTCCATGCGCTTGCACATTCATTAGGAACTCCACGTGCTCAGCACGGAGAGCGATAAGGTTGTGACACCGTCCTAAACGATCGCCTGGACGACCTGGAAGCACAATCGGAGAGTTCTGTACGACACGACTGTGAAAACCTGCGCAAGATCTGTGATCCAAAAAGCCGTCGACAACAGAAAAAACCGCGTGAGATGAATTGCGGAAAGCATAACAGTCAAAATAGCATCACCGCTGAGATTGCTTCGCAGAATGTCTCTCGATCGGCTCGTCGTGCTCCGATCACCCACCGCGGCTGACCACCGTCGCTTCTCCATGATTGCTGCTACCATGCAGAACTCCATTCCCGCTTTAGATACATAGTCGTCAAATTAATTACCGACTACTTTCAAAAAGCGCACCTGTTCAAGCTCGCTTTCAACCGATGTCGAGCTGGTATCCGCGTCGCCTCTGAGTCGTACTGGAACTCTGCCCTTCATTAGAGAAATTTGTCGCGTTAAAAGTAATTATTATGATTCCACGCACTGCTCTGTGGCAGCAACTTCCTCAAGGTTGTGACTTTTTTGTGATGTCATCTCGTTATGTAAAGGACGCCGGAATTCTTGTTAAGTTTTTGCTCATGAAGGAATATAATGTGCACTTACAAATGCCACCCAGCTGGACATGCCTTTACACAATAATTTGAATGTTTCAAACATTAAACGCGTATCTCTATCTTGCAGTTAAATCGTTCGGCATGATAAATATGTAAGGATTAGCTTCAGAGCAAGACATGTTCTCCCCTTGCGGGGCAAACAATAGAACGTGAGCAGCATTGCTCATACTCGGTGTGGAACCGGCGTGTAGCGAGCGGCGATGCATTTGTGTGTGTTGAACTTTCGCACCGTATGTAGGTGCGGGGGAAGGACAACAAACTAAACACAGAAAAGCCGCCGTTCACACGGACAGCTTCCGCGGCTGGGTGCTGTGCCGCGCCAGGTGCGGCCCACTCGCCTTGCCGTCGCCGCAGCGCGTGCCGGGCAGCACGAGGCCGGGGTCCGAAGCGGAGTCGTCTCCGTCGCTGGTGCCGGCCACTTTGCAGCGCACGGGCCCGAACGTGAGCGTGTACGTCACGCCCGTCACCGGGTGCTTGTTACCCCCGACGCAGTGCGTCTGCCCGCAGAGCACGTCCCTGGCGGGCACACGGCAGCGTGGTCAAGCGGCGCCTTCGTCAAACGCGACGAGGCAAGAGTCTCGACGTCAAAGAAGCGGCCGCCTCGCTCAGACGGGCGTGGGGGGGGGGTGCTCGCTTTTCGTTGGCGGCACCGAGCCGACGGTGAGAGTTCAGCGTTGTAATGATAATTGAAAATGTCTTAAGTATTCACCCTCATAGCAAAGCCGGCACACGATTGTAATGCCCTCTGCAACATTACTGGGCACTACCATGCGACCGTTGACTGTGCATTGGCAAAGTGGTTCCGGAGGAGAGCGTGCCGTCGACGGGCCGACGCGCCGCCTACACGAGCAGTCACCCGGGGGGGCCTGGATATTCACGGAGAGTGAAGGACCTCACCCTGGGTCGCAGGTCACAAAGCCGTGCTCGGTGCGCCCACAGTTCCCGAACTTGTCCTGCCGCTGGTTTCCCAGGAAGTAGCAGACGTCAGGCGCCCGCGAGGCTCCTGTTTGGCCACACACAAAGACAAAGATCTCCCGTGTAGTCTTAACAGAGCGTTGGGGCAAGCGCTGTTAGCGAGCACCTTCGAAGGGCGGCAAGGCACATGAAGGCGGTGGGTGGTAAGCACCACGTCCGCCCGGCCGCCTTTGCTTCTCCAGTGCTGATGTTTACACACCGCACCAAATATTCATTTCAGGCTGAGTCGACCTAGGGGAGGTCCACTCGGATATTTGTCACCGATATTAGCTGTGAGTGAGAGTCGAATTCTGGTCCCCAGATTCAAAGTGCAGCACGCTAAGCACTAAACTCCCACTCTCCACACCTATCCATACACAAGCAAAATATGACGCACTGAGAAACCTGATTATCACAGACCACCAGCCGCCCTAGTGCCGCTTTGAATATTGCTACAATGACCACGCAGAGATTTTTGAGTAATGGAAAATTCCGTTCTCCTCCATGTATCTTTTTTCATCACGGTGCCTGAGTGCAGGCCCAAAGAGCCAAAACATCAAACGACCAGCAACAAACAGCGCTGTTAAAGCCGTAATAGATAAGGTTACAAGAACCTGGGAAAAGAGACGATGAGAGGGAACTCCAAAGTTGAGCAGCGTGAGAAGAGAGTCCGAAAGAGATTCGTGTTTTGACCTCTGGTGGTTGAACAAAATGTGGATAAGAGGAAACTTTGAGTCTGATCGACCGAGTCCTCAACACGGGTGAAGATCACGACGACAGTTACCACGGTACCAGCGATAGAAGAGCAATATGAGAATCAGAATGATTTTCTCATACTGTTGGAATCCGATGAGCTATAAAGCTCTTTGTCTACAGATGTCTAGTAGGGGCACGGGGTCAGAACGTTACAACAACGATAAAGCGGTGACTGACCGCACGGAGAGCGGGTGACTAGAGTGATCATCAAGCAACACGCTCGCGTGTGTGCATGCGCACGTGCGTGTGTGCGCACGTGTGTGTGTGTGTGCGTGTGTGCGTGTGGGCGCACGTGCATGCGCGTGCGTGTGTGCGTGTGTGCATGTGGGTGCGCGTGCGTGTGTGCATGTGGGCGCACGCAAGCACCTTTGCCCCACAGGCTGGCGCACTGCGCGTCCAGGGTGGGGCACAGGCCCCCGTAGCAGTAGGCGGCCCCGCCGCGGCACGGGTGCCCGTCCAGCAGGTAGAGGTTGTCGGGGCAGCGGGCAGAGCGGCCGTCGCACAGCTCGGGCAGGTCGCACTCGTGCATGCGCTCGCGGCACCGCACGCCCGCGGCCGCTACCTGCGCAACGCACCGCGGCACTCGCTCAGAGACGCGGCAGGCCCACGCAGTGCGCGCACGCACCCTGGGGGCGCAGTGCGCGAGCCGGCGTGGCCCCCACGAGAGGGGTAGGTGGCGTGGCCCCCAGAACACGCGCAAACCAGGTACTCGTTTGAGGCTGAGTTGACCTAAGGGATGCCCAGAACCGGGTCAGATGCTACTTGACGCTGGCCGGTAATTGAACCCAAGCACACATGAGCACAAGCACATGATGTTGATGTATTCACATACTCGCATACTTGGATGGACATGTAGTTTTTACTTTGTGTTAATTTTCTCTATCAGGTCACTGTGACGGGTGGGAAGGCACGCCTAGGACACGCTGCAATAAACCATGGTAGCAGAATTGTTATGAGACCACTGCTTTGGTGGGAAGTAACACATGATCATCCTGGGGAGACTGACCCCTGCCATAGGAATATGGAATTTAGAGCAGTGACTCAGGGCTGGAAATGAGTGAGCACCGACCCACACTTGCGTGGGCAGAAATACAAAGGCGGCCAGGCGTGGTGCTGGCCACTCACTCCCTCGTGTGCCGTGCCGGCCTTCATAGGTGCTCGCTAACGGCACTTGCCCCAACCAACAGTCTGTTAAGGCTATACGGGGGATATTTCTCTTTGTGTCGACGTGTGTGTTCACGTGTGTGTGTGTGTCCACGTGTAACCATAACTATGAGCATTTGTGTGTTTTTGTACAGTCGAGTCCTCTTTTGACTAAATCTGTGATGGTTTAAACATCGCACGCATGCGGTAAGGCACACACGTGCACATGCATAATAATAATATTATATGCAGAGCATCCTGATATTCCAATTGCTTTGCATATACTGATGTGGCACAGGAATCCACTTCGCAAAATCGAGGTTTGCTTTGAGGGCTGGTTTTCCAGAATTTTTATAAACTCCATTGTGGGCTATTACCACTACAAAGATGCCATCGCCAAACTACACAAACTCTCCCCTGTAAGCACTCTTCATATATAGAAGACCTTGACATGCAGCTCCTGTTGCCGCCATACGACAGCGTGGAACCACGACAACCCAGGCAGGCTCTGTGCTTCTCGCGAGGGTGCACCAACCCTGCACATTCTGTTCCCTGAAGAGCCGAGGGGCTTTGTCTGCGCTAGGCCAAGTCAGCGCAGGGGAAGGAGCGGCGGGTGGGACGCTGCCACGAAGATGATCCCCTCGAGGGCTGAGCGCAGTTATCGGGAAGCAGCCCCCGCGCCCCCGCGCCCCTGACCACCGCCGCCGGGACGGCCGCTTCCCCTGCCGCGCGGCACACCGCTTGGTCGTGCCGCGACTTGGCAGCGCCACACTGGACTCTTGTGTTCCTTTAAATTCAATAATGATGGAATCCTGCAGACATTTCTGGGGAGTCGTTGTTAACGTTTTTTTTTGCCCGCTAGCAGCAACAAAAACGGGCATTCTGCTCGCGGGTTTTCTAAATATTTGCACACATGCCACGTGCGCGGGACGACCGCGCGGGGAAGCGGGAGCAGCATTTGTGGGCACCTCCTTGAGGTGCGGGGAAAGGGGGGGGTCACAACTGGGGGGCGACCCCCCCCTCGCCCCCAGGGAAGCCGGACAAATTGTGCCCCCGACTGAGGTCCCATCACGCGCACCCAGCAAGGCGCACGCGTGTGTGAGTGCGCGCACACACGCGTGCATATACAGCATTGGTGCATATACAGAATTGGTGCATGCAGCATAACGCAAGGAGGTGCACGGCTGAACATGCACGCAAGCCCTTTCTTTCAGGCTTTCACACCGCGTCGTGCGGACGTATGGGGAAGTCTCGGCTGAAGAAAGCCAGGTGACATTCGACTGCATGGCGTGTATGAGTGTTGGTGCGTGTCGCTGTGTGCTCGTGTGTGTGTTGGCCGCATTGTGTGTTACTGTGTGTGTGTTGGTCGACTCAAATGAGTACCTGGTGCGTTGTGTAAACATCGCCACTGGGGACACAAAGGTGGCCGGGCGTGGTGCTGGCCCCCCACCCCCTCGTGTGCAGTGTCGGCCTTCAGGTGTGCTGCTCGCTAACAGCACTTGCCCCAAAAGTCTGTCAAGGCTATCCGGGGGATCTTTGTCTTTGCTGACTGCATGGTGTGCATGAGTGGTGACGCGCATGGGAACAGGCAAGGATCGCTGACATCGATGACAGTGAGTAAAGCGGCAGACGTAAAGATTGATGAGAGTTCACCCGTCGATAGCCAATCACATGCAGTGTGCATAACATCAGCATAACTATGGGGACACACTTGTAACATCTGTACACCGTTGCGGCAAGGGCTGTTAGTGAACCGCATTGAAGGGATAGCTGGACCTCTTGCCGTGTGAAGTTCGTTGTCTTTCCCCCGCACCTCCGATTAGCACGGTTGGCTACGTACGGTGCGAAAAAAGTTCAACATACATACAATGCGGCCCATTGTGTGGCGTGGTGCTTGCCGGGCTTTGTGTGGAGTGGCATTGATTGAGAAGCGCGAGGCTGATGTTAGTGAAGGATACGCCACTTATTGCAATTAGTTTAGCAGATGGTGCGACACAGGGGAGCGTGCAGCAGCAACCTTCCCGCTACCCGCAGCGGGAGCCTGCTGCGTGTGAGAGAGACTGTGCGAGGCCGTTGTGCCTGTGAGTGTGTGAATGTGTGAGTGTGAATGTGTGTGTGAGTGTGTAAGTGTGTGTGTGTGAATGTGAGTGTGTGAATGTGTGTGCGTGTGAGTGTGTGAGTGTGCGTGTGAGTGTGTGTGTGTGAGTGTGTGAGTGTGTGTGTGAATGTGTGTGCGTGTGAGTGTGTGAGTGTGCGTGTGAGTGTGTGTGTGAATGTGTGTGTGAGTGTGTGTGAGTGTGTGTGTGAATGTGTGTGTGTGAGTGTGTGTGTGAGTGTGTGTGAGTGTGTGAGTGTGCGTGTGTGAGTGTGCGTGTGTGAGTGTGTGTGCGTGTGTGTGTGAGTGTGTGTGAATGTGTGTGTGAGTGTGCGTGTGTGTGTGAGTGTGAGAGTGTGTGTGAGTGTGTGAGTGTGAATGTGTGTGTGAGTGTGTGTGTGAGTGTGTGTGTGTGAGTGTGAGAGTGTGTGTGAGTGTGTGAGTGTGTGTGTGAATGTGTGTGTGTGCCTTCTGTTTCTGACGTTCCGCTGGTGGAAATCTGCGGATGCGTCGGCTCTCCACGATATGGGGGGGGGGGGGGGTTCGAGGGAGCCCTCCGACAGACTGAATGCACTGAATGTACGTAGAGCATTTGGTCGCTGCAGACTCTACCAGATGCCCGTTGATGCGATCGCAGAGCGGGTTCTGCTGCAGACCCACGACCCAACACGCGAGCTCAGAACGTGCGCGACACTTGAAATGAACGCGTGAAGCGACACCCGCGTTCATAATGTGTTTGATTTTTGTTCTATATATATACACACACACGTGTGTTCGTATTTCGTATATATCTTCAATCATGGGCAATATATGAAAGAAAGTATTTAGCATGTTGTCCACAATTGTCCACAATCAAATGAATCTTACATTTACACCGATGGCACACTTTGAATGAATGGATGGTTTTTCTTTGCGCTTGTTTGCTTTTTTCACCGGTTGTGCCCTTGGAGTCTCGTGTGCATTTAAATATTTTAGTAAAACCCAAAAATACTGCTTTGGAAAAAATAGATGTACGAGTTGCCCCCGTAAGTCTTCCCATCGCCAGCTCCTGACCAGAAGGGCATTTGCAGGTTTCCGCTGATGCTGCGGGCAGGAGCGCGCGGTGGCGTGCGTGCGAATGAGAGAGCGAGCGAGCGAGTGGGAGATGGAGCGAGAGAGCCATGGAGGGCAGCTCACCTGGCAGTGCGAGCAGCACGCTCCGTGAGCACACCGCGCCCCGCTCACCAGCTGACACGTCGTGGCGTTACAGCACGGGTTGTCGCACTCCTGCACGCACGCACGCACACACGCACACATACACACACGCACACACGCACACACACACGCACACACACGCACGCACACACGCACACACACACACGCACACATACACACACGCACACGCGCACACACACGTACACACACGCACATACACACACACGCACACACATGCACACGCACGCACACGCGAAACGCTCAATAAAACATGAGCACACGCCCATGCGCCACTGCTCGTATGCAATGTGCATCTGTGGCCATAAGTGCAATGCGGTAGCGGGGAGTGGAAATGCAGCGGTTAGCGCGCTGCGCTACGAACCCGGCGACCCCGGTTCGATTCCCGCTCGCGACCAATAACTGTTCCTTGGCATCCCCCAGGTCGACTCAGCCTTAAACGAGTACATGGTGCGATGCGTAAACATCGCCACTGGGGAGATGAAGGCAACAGGGCGTGGTGCTGGCCACCCACCCCTTCCGTGTGCCATGCCGGCGTTCATCGGTGCTACTCACTCACCGCACTTGCCCCAAGTCTGTTTGAGGCTACACGGGCGATCTTTGTCTTTTTTGTATGTGTGGGAGCGGTTTTGCAGTGGTTAACACTGAACCGTGATCCTGGCAGTGCACGTATGACGATTGTTGGCGTGATTGTGCAACGCAAGTCTGGTGTCTGGACTTGGCTCGTGCCTCCTCTAGCTTCACTCAGTCTGAAATTATCACCTGGTGTGGTAGTGCGATCAACATCGGTGCCGGTGAGACAAAGGAGGCCAAGCATCGTACCAACCACACCACCTCCTTGGGGTACCGGGCAGGCATTAGGAGTGCCGCTTGTTTCTGCTCGTGGTGGAAGATCGTTTTTGGTGAGGGCATGTTACTTTTCAAAACACACACTGCAATCTAAACGTAATCCCATTTTCATTTCACAAACCATTTAATCACATTTGCATTCCACCCTTTGCAACTTAAGCCCATTCAAAGTAATTTCTCCAACGGAGCTGCAAAAGCCAATATCGCTGGCAATGGGGGATCGTGACGTAATGTTGGCTGGCAGCACTCCCTCGTGACGAGGTGCTCGCGGAGAGCAGGCGCTTCCAGAAGTCGACGTGGGGGGGGGGGGGGTCTATGTCCTCCTTTGTTTGTGTGAGAATAGAGAATGCGTTCGCTGAGACCTGAGCGCACCGTGAGTCTCTCCCGCTGCAGGCGTAGCGCCAGGGCGTGGGGCACGCCCTGGCGCTGCGGACGCATCGATCTCGCCCACTTTGTGACTCTGCCCATCGTTCTACAACGCGGCGCACAAACGACCGCACGCAACTTTCGTGCGTCCTTTATTTCTCAAGCTCCTCCGACCGCTCATTTGTCACGAGGCCCTTCTCGCCCATAACTTCGTTAACTCCAAATGGGGAAAAAATAATCAAATAATGAAACGGAAGAAAAAAAACCACGCAATCTAAAATAACCAGACGGTGCGATCCATAGCGTCTGACAGCGGCTTTTAGCGGAATGAGATTTCAGGCGCTGCCGCCGCTCGTGCTCGTGACGGATGGGCGCCCGCCCCTGCAGGAGGTGGCGGCGGGGTTGGCATCGTGAGCTCACGTCTCGATCGCTCTCGCGCACCACGGACGCCGCGCTGCCACGCGGAGGGCACCGTTAACTCGGGCCGCTGCTGGGTGAGAGTGGTCAGCCGAGGAAGGCTCAGTGTTGACGACTGACCGATGATGAACGGCATCCACGGGTTACAGCCGCGCATATGGAAGCGTATACACGCACATACTTGTAGAATATCGGTGCAAGTCAGCAAGCACATATCAAGACGAGTAAACAGGTAGCACGGTTGGCTACGTACGGTGCGAAAGAAGTTCAACATACGTAGATACAAAGGTGTTGTCAACATAATGCCGCGCCGACCCTTAATTCCTTAAGGCTCATGCTGCCTATCCTGCACCAAATACTTATTTTAGACTGAGTTAAACTAGGGAGGTCCAGGCCAAGTTTAGATTCTAATCATCATGGCAAAAAATGTAACTGTGATGGGCAGACCACTCCAAAGACAAAGATCCCCCCTGCAGCCTATACAGGCTGTTGGAGCAAGTGCTGTCAGCGAGCACCTATGAAGGTGAGCACGGCACACGAGAGGGTGGTGTGGCCAGCACCACGCCCGGCCACCCTCTCGTCTCTGCAGTGCTGAGCAGGGAGATCGAACCGTGGACCTGCCGATTGTAAGTCGTCTGCATCCCCCACCACACAGATTAACGGGGCGTAACACTTTTAGTGAGTTTCCATAAATACATTGGGAAAAAAAAATCCATTACCAAGATTAATACTGACAAGAAACAAACGTACTGGAGGGCAGTGGGTGGTGGCGGTCCCAGCAACGGCTGTAACTCAGGCGGCCTCACCTTGCACGGGGAGACACCCTTCAACGTGCAGAGTGAACAGCGCGGCACTCCCATTAACAAAGTTGTCTGGCGCTGGCGATGAACTGCGTTGGTTGTGCCCGCAGGGAGGTCGTGCACGCGGTGCCACGGCGCGATATACGGCCCGTGGCAAGCGGAGAGCGGCGCGGATGAAATATAGAAGGTCGTTCATCACGGTATCGGCTTTCAGCACGCCACCGGTGAGTAAGGGCAGGGGAACGGCCGCGATTTCGAAGATGACGGTCCGTTGGGGATTGACGCCGACGGCGATCGTGGTTATGGCGACGGTAATGGTGGCCGAGGCAGATGGACAGAGGAGTTTGATTTAAACTGGGAGGGCCCGGTGAGCTCTGAAGCAGCTCGCTGTTGCAGGTGTCATGCGCAAGCTGGGGTCGGCAATGTTGATACGTTACGGAGGCAGTGACGTGGCGAGATACATCAGACAATCACGCAAACGCGAACAAAACAGAGTATAGAAAAATAAGTAACCGCGATAAGTAACAAAAAATTATACGAAGGATAGATTGCACTTGCAAATTCCCAGCTATCAAATCGTAGTTACAATACATTGTTACATATCACACAGTTGCATGTCACAGTTGCAAATGTGGCTCTAGTTGAGTTTAAGACCTTTTCTTGATGAGATAATGAAGACTGGAGATGATGATGATTTTATAGATGTTAATGATAACTGTAGACACGATGGTGATGACAATGACGATGGCTATGCCTGTGCCTTTGAAGATAAATTATGATGGGGAAAATGGTACTGAATATGGATATTATTGTTGTTACAATAATCATAGTTACCAATATCACTCCCAAGTGTGGTTTTGTAGCCTAACCAAGGGATAAACCCAAAGGCCAGATGATGGGACATCGTAAGAGCAAGCCTCGGAGGTCACGAGTTTTGTCACGAATGCAATTGGGCGTGATGACCTCTTGACATTGTTTGTATATTGAATTGGCGTGGAACATCTGAAAGTCTGAAATAACGGTGCCGATGCCGCCACCGTTTTAACGATGAAAGCTTCACTGCGAGATTGAAAAAATACAATTTTTTGAAACTGAGTTTTGTGTGTTGGTTTGTTGTCCTTCCCCCGCACCTCCGATTAGCACGGTTGGCTACGTACGGTGCGAAATAAGTTCAACGTACGCACGTACACACATAAGTACATACCTCGACCGTGCCGCAGTCGCACGTCTCCCCGGGCTCCAGGAAGAGGTTTCCGCACACGGGCCCCCCATAGAGCGCGTCCGGGAGGGGCTCGTTGTAGAGACAGGGCCCCCCACCGGCCTGCAGGAAGCCATGCAGGTCCTGCACACTGCAGCTGCTGAAACCCACGGGGAAGCCGTGCCTGCACACACACACACACGTGGATCCTTTATGATAACATCACTCACGTGACGTGTGGCACGGGTGACGTGTGCACACGTGATGTGTGCGCGTGTGTGCTAGTGATGTGTGCGTGAAGCGTACACTCATTCTGTCAGCGTGTGCTCGTGACGCGTGCGTGCTGTGTACACTCGTGCTGCAAGCGAGTGCGTGCGCCGCGCGTCAACTGACTTGAGCCGCGGCGCGAGCACGCAGCCTCCCTGCTCCTCCGTGGCCTCGCAGTGACAGCGGCGCTCCGTCGAGTCGTGGCTCATGCCGAGGTTGTGGCCCATCTCGTGGGCCATGGTGGACGCCAGGCCCAGCACGTTGTAGCTGTGGTCCTGCTCGCCGCACGGACATTGTGCCTTCTGTAGCCACGGAGATGCGGAGGCGCTCTGCACTTTAGCGTGAGGCTCAGCTCAAGTAGGCAACGGTACACCTGAGGCTATGGCGTGGGCACAAGAGGGAAGTCTCGTGGCTTTTTAATGGGAAATAAAAACGATGCACACATAAAATCCCATGCAAACATCTGCAACATCGATGCCCCTATTCGGTGCCCTGCTCTGTAAGGTGGGCCCGAGTCAAACGTCAAGTCACATTGTCTCCGTTCTCAAATGAGCGTTACGTGTTGCTCATCTCCGCTGGAGGCCTTCGGCCAGAGATGGAAATTCCACATTCTCATTGCAGTGGCGCTTTTATCCACAGGACAACCACTACTGACATATCACACAATTAACACGTAAGTTTTTGAAGCCAATATGATTTGGAATTGATCTTGTGTGTCAGACCACGTATTTCGGTTGGAAAAAAATTGCACTAGCAAGCAATAACACCGGCGTGATAAAGCACACGTGACACTTTCATTTGATTGATGACTGAAGAGGCAAGGCGAGATGGACGGTTTTGACTGGCTGTGTCAAACATGGTATTTGGCACGTTCCACATTGCACGTTGCACTCGTCGATGTTATGAAGGTGCCACACTGGTGCTCAACGACGTGATCCAGGTGTCACACTTGGCACTTGTCCACGTGATCGAGGTGACGAGAGGAACTGTCCTCCCAAGACATCGAGGGCCACTTCTTCCTCCCCGACTATTCGTCTTCCTCGCTTCAAGCTGCCACGCCGGCCCAGGGCTCCGTACCCGGCAGGGTCTGTCCGCTGCCGACCTCCACGCCCGGGGTCCACGTGACCCGACTCTGTGCACGTGCCCAGCGACAGACCGCGTGGCGCACTGCTGACGAGGGCCCCTGGCGAGAGTCGCCGGTGGCCTCAGGGCCTTCCCTCTGCACTGCTGCTGCTGCTGACGAAGCAGCTGTCGCCGGGCTCGGCAACACGATAGCACTGAACTCAACTGTTGGCGATACCGAATTAAGTCAGAAAGCCTCATTTATACGATCATTTATGTTTCAGTCTTTAATAACTGCTGACAGTATCAACCCATTACACAACCAATTCTGGTTTTTACAGTGGGATGCCAACGTGGGATTTAATTTTTGAACTTAATTTGGAAGCAAGGGCGGGCCCACTGAGACCATGGAAGATCCCAGCGTCATTCTCACTTGATGATCTGACACAACACTTAAGACATTCCTTCCGAATTAAACGTGCTGCTTCAATGGGGCTATTGCCTGTGTTGAATAGAGGACAGTCCGCTTGCCTTTCTGTCTTTCTGCCTGTACCCGGTACTTCTGAATTGTGCAGCACACGCAGACACACCGCGGGCCGTGCGCCATGACGCCAGCGCGGAGGGCCTCACCTCGCTGACGGCGCCGCTGTTCTGCCCACACATGCCAGCCACTGGTGCCAGCCCCACCGTCACGCCCTCGAACTGCACACCACTGACACACACACAGACGCCACATGCTAAGGCCATTGGCTTCAGCCTATAGACTGCAGGGACAAGGGCTGCCAGTAATAAGCTAGAAGGGTAAGAAACAAAAAGAGGTGGACAGGCAAACAACGCGCTTGCGTCAATTTGTATAGACAACTTGACAGGGAGACTGATAATATTATATTTCTTGACTTAAAACTTTCGTGACTGCGGGAATTCATAGTCTTTGGCTCTTTCGGTAAAGTCACGTGGCTTTACCAAAAGACCCAATGCATATTACCACGACCTTAGGGAGTTTAACATGTCAATTGCCACTGATTAGAATGTGCATCAGGCAAGAATTCAACTTTGGTGGCACAGGAGTGCAGCAGCAAACACGCAGCTCACGGGCGATGGTGTGCAGGCAGAGGCTCCAGCAGGACCGTAGGGTCGTGAGTGGACACGCGCAGACTCAAAGTTACGCCCCACGGTTAGGCGCGCGGTGACGTGAGGTGGAACTACATGTGTCGATGCTTAATCAGTTGGCAATTCCATCGGTGGACAATTTCTCTCCAAGATTTAGTTCAACAAAAATAGAGACCGGCCAGCCTTGACTGAACATTACGTCGGAAAAAGCAGCGTTCTCGTATGTACGCACGCACGTATGTATGCATGTATGCATTACAATGATACGTACATTGTCATGAGCTCATTTACTTAGTATGCTTAATGGACTCATTAATCACAGTTGGCGAAATCTAAGTTTCCACAGATACCTTCCCCATGATCGAGGCAACCAAATATTATCAGCCCAACAAAATAGTCACAGACCCATCACCACTCCAACGCCTGTCTTCGAAAAGCCTCCCCATGCACCCCTCCCCCCCTCCCCGCAAAAGGACTTTTACCAACATAAACGAGTGCCAGAGCCCAACACAGCACGGGACTTTTGTCAAACAACTTATGAGTCATTGCGCTTGTAAAAGCTAACACCAACATGCCACTTGAGAAATTTAAACCGCAATCATAGAAATGTACGCTAATGACTTTCAGCTGGCGGTGCATTGCGATTACGTCCTGCGCTCGTGGGGTTAGGACGCCAATTGCGGTAATTTCGGTGGCCGTCGACGTGACGCGTCCGGGATGTTGTGACCGCCGCTGCGACGGCTGCACGCGCAGTCCGTAACACACGGCCGTGAGCGCACGGGCGTGCGTGCCATGCACACTACGCAACGGCCACGTGTAACACGCACGAGAGGAAACGGCCCCGGTCAAATAACAGCAGCAGCAGCAGCAATGCCGGCAGGGAGCGTTCCAATGTTTGTGCACTGGATTCGCGGAGGTTTCACGCTGGGTAATTCCCTCATGAGTCATTCCTCGCCTACAATTCCACCGTGGATAATTCCTACAGGAATGCCAAGGGCCGTTCCCGTGTTCAAACGAACATTTGAACGTGGGACCCTAACAGGAATTCTGCCATTGAAGATTCTTGGAATAGAATGAGATTCTATTGAAAATCTTTGACGATTCTAGCTTAGCTTTGGCTATGCTTAACTTGGCAAAGCATCACTGATTCCAGCCAGCCAGAATGGCAATTCACCATTGATGCCTAATCGACTGAATCCGCCCCAATGCTGGTGTTGACGCCACAACGGATGGCCCAAGGTACCTGCATTGCCTCGTAGAGGCAAGCCCAGACACGGTCCTTACAACGCCAATGCAAGGCTGTATGTACACGGAGCCATTGATACATGTACAGGTAGCCATCCCATGTATATGCTAGGATAAAGCTAATTCTAGATTTGAAGCTTTCGTGACAGCAAGGATTCATATTCTTAGGTTTTCTTCGGTAAAATTGAAATTAATAAAAGTAAAATAAAAATAAAATACAAAACACGACGTTTCGGAGGCAACATGATAGCTGTATCTTACTTGATACAGCTATCGTGCTGTGACGGTTCCACCTGAAGACGGAGGCTTGTGTTGCCTCCGAAACGTCGTGTTTTTTTATCTTATTTTAATTTTATTCACTAATTTTTTTTACCTACGTGACTTTACCGAAAAAACCTAAGAATAGGATAAAGCTATGGCTACATATGAACGTAGCTGTAGCCATGTATAATACGCTCCTCCTTGTCTAGCCTAGGCCAGTCAGGCGCCACGGGCACGACTGTCTATCCTGAACACCACGCAACGTGGGTACACTGCGTACGTACTCTTCAACGCACGTGCCACACGTGTGTGTGTGCGTGCATATGTTGAACTTAAATTTTGACTTAAAACTTTCGTGACTGCAGGAATTCCTATTGTTTGGTTCTTTCGGTAAAGTCACGTAGATAGAAAAATAATAAAAAATAAAATAAATGAGACACGACGTTTCGATCGCAACACAAGCGGTCGTCCTGAGTTATTATTTATTTATTATTTGCATTCACTTTCTTTTTATATTTTTTATATCTACGTGATTTGCCGACAGAAACAAAAGAATATGTTGAACTTCTTTCGCACCGTGCATAGCCAGCCGTGCTAATCGCAGGTGTGTAATGCCGTGCAACATCGTGCTGTGCCATACAACGCAGGTCTGCGCTGTGCGATGCAGCCCATTCACAGTCCCGCACTGCCACGTGCTGTGACATCGCCGTGCTGAGCAATGTTATCAATGTCCATGTGATGGGGCCACTTCGTTTCGCTGCTACCATTTGTGATGACCAGGTCGCTTCTGAAAAACAAGTAAATACCCCAGTGGGCTTTGCCTGGTGGAATGGCGATGGCTCAGTTTCATTTGTTTGTGTTTGGGTGATTTGTTTACCTTTCTTGTACTTTGCACCAATGCCATGTTTTTGCATTGTTTGTTGCTGTCACGCTCTTACCCCGTGCTCCTACTGGACATCTGCGACAAAGAGCTTTAGAGCTCACCGGATTCCTTCCGCGGTATAAATAAACATTCTTTAATCCGAATGCAGCACTTTGCGGTGCCTCGCGACTTGCTGCTGCGCTCCGCAACGCTCGATGCCGGCCGCGTCGCACGACGTTTCGCAGCGCGGCCCTCACGTGACGAGCTGCGCGTGGTCGTGGGTGGCGCGCGGGGCCAGCTCGCGGCGCCTCCACGCCAGGAAGCCCTTGAGCGTCGCGTTGGCGTCCGCGCTGACGTTGGCGCGGTCGCCCGCACTCCACACCTCGAGGCCCACGAGCGCCACGCGCACGCGCAGCGGCCGGTACAGCTGCGCCCGCCACGCACAGCACGCACGCGCCACACACAGCACGCATCACGCACGCGCCACACACAGCACGCATCACGCACACACAGCACGCATCACGCACACACAGCACGCACGCGCCACACACAGCACGCATCACGCACACACACAGCACGCATCACGCACACGCAGCACGCACACACAGCACGTACGCACCACACACAGCACGCACAGCACGCACGCACACGCAGCACGCATCACGCACGCTCCATACACAGCACTCAGCATGCAGCACGCACACACAGCACGCGCGCGCCACACACAGAACGCATCACGCACGCGCCACACACAGCACACAGCACGTGCCACACGCAGCACGCACACACAGCACGCATCACGCACGCGCCACACGCAGCACGCACACACAGCACGCAGCACACAGCACGCGCAACGTGGGGGGTCCACGCTGTGCTGATGAGACTCGGAGAGGTCGAAACGCTCCGGCTTATTTTCCCCGTCTCGTTATAAGCGAGCGCTGCTGGAGACGGAACGGTCTGCAGGGCCAACGATGTGGACGGCACGTTATCGTTGCTTTGCTATTCTGGAGATGGAATAGACGCGAATCTCTGGCTGTTGGTTGTATTTAATGCCACGTAGCTGGGTGTGTTTGTACAGACAGGGAGAGGAAGGTGTCAATGCATGCAATACTCAGATGATACGTGAACTTGTTCAGGTTAAACATCATTACAAGCAAGGAAGGTGTGGATACTTACACAAGATTGGAGTTCAAGGCAGACTAGGAATGAGAAGTAGTCACTTGATTTTGTATTTCTGCCTTTTTCCAATTCTATTTCAGCTGTGCTATGGGCGCCATGCTGTGTTGCACAACAAAGGACCATGCCATGTTACAGAATGGTCGGTGGAAGTTGATATTGCAGAACTACTACTTCATCCAAATATTAAAAAAAATCCGTAGTTTTTTTTGGGAAGTCATCAGTGGTTGACCTCTCAATAAAAACGTGGCCATTCCCATGGGAATGTGGAATTCGCGGGGGCTCCCATGAGCAGATGAGCAGCGCCCGATGATTGTTTGAGCTGGGGGCCACCTTCACTCGTGCCCTGCTGGGCACCAAGTCCCTCTCGCAGTGGGGCTCTCAGCAGCTCTGAATGAAGTTCACTGATGGACACACATCGCAAGTCCCATTCAGCTTCAGTTGCTGCAACATCCAGACCTCAAGGACGGCGTCCAGCATGGATCTCAAGGATGTAGTAATGATGTGGGCAAAGAGTAAGCCTCCACACAATACAAAATATATGCTACCACTCAGCCAGGAAATGGCTCAGAGAGAAGGAATACGGTCTTGTGTTGCACAATGTACGATTGTGAAAGAATGTTCAATGCGTTCACCCGGAACCACTCAACAGAAGCACACAGCAGCAACACACACAGCAGTAACACACACAGCACTGACACACACAGCACTGACACACACAGCACTGACACACACAGCACTGACACACACAGCACTGACACACACAGCACTGACACACACAGCACTGACACACACAGCACTGACACACACAGCACTGACACACACAGCAGTAACACACACAGCACTGACACACACAGCACTGACACACACAGCAGTAACACACACAGCACTGACACACACAGCACTGACACACACAGCACTGACACACACAGCAGTAACACACACAGCACTGACACACACAGCACTGACACACACAGCACTGACACACACAGCAGTAACACACACAGCACTGACACACACAGCACTGACACACACAGCAGTAACACACACAGCACTGACACACACAGCACTGACACACACAGCACTGACACACACAGCAGTAACACACACAGCACTGACACACACAGCACTGACACACACAGCACTGACACACACAGCAGTAACACACACAGCACTGACACACACAGCACTGACACACACAGCAGTAACACACACAGCACTGACACACACAGCACTGACACACACAGCACTGACACACACAGCAGTAACACACACAGCACTGACACACACAGCACTGACACACACAGCACTGACACACACAGCACTGACACACACAGCACTGACACACACAGCAGTAACACACACAGCAGTAACACACACAGCACTGACACACACAGCACTGACACACACAGCACTGACACACACAGCACTGACACACACAGCACTGACACACACAGCAGTAACACACACAGCAGTACACACACTAGCACTGACCACACAGCAATGACACACACAGCACTGACACACACAGCAGTAACCACACAGCACTACACACACAGCAGTAACACACACAGCACTGACACACACCAGCAGTAACAACACCACAGCACGACACACACAGCAGTAACACACACAGCACTGACACACACAGCAGTAACACACACAGCACTGACACACACAGCAGTAACACACACAGCACTGACACACACAGCAGTAACACACACAGCAGTAACACACACAGCACTGACACACACAGCACTGACACACACAGCAGTAACACACACAGCACTGACACACACAGCAGTAACACACACAGCACTGACACACACAGCAGTAACACACACAGCAGTAACACACACACAGCACTGACACACACAGCAGTAACACACACAGCAGTAACACACACAGCAGTAACACACACAGCAGTAACACACACAGCAGTAACACACACACAGCAGCACCACAGTGGCTTGATGTGTGGTTGGGGGCTGGTGACGATTGAGGGGTGTGGGGTGGCAGACGAGAGAAAACGAGAAGGGAATTACTACAGAGCAACGCACTGTGCCAAGTGTGCTTTTGCCTGGGGGAATTGCTCACTGGCCGAGCCTTGTACATTGTCCCGTACCAGTCAATTGCCCTCTTATTAAACGACGACATGGGCCTTCGTGCCCCAACACATGCTCTTAGAGGCACTAATGTTTGTAGACCCTTGTATGTAAACATGTACCATTATACTCGATTGCGTGCTCTTAAAAGCAGACAAACACTCTCTTAGTCAAAGGGCTGATGTCCTGTAAGGAGACTGGCTCCCACTAATAAATGTACGTTACATTTCCAGAGTGGCTGGGAGCCTCAAGACTTTCATCATTTCTCTGTGTCAGGGAACAGCCCAGCTGAGATCCTGGGTTCAATCCCAGGCAGTCGTGTGATGATGAACCAGATGATGAAATGTATTGAGCTGCTCGTCTCAGCAGTTACCGATGACCGCAAAACAAAACCATCAGATCACTTTGTTCACATTATTTACTCTATTCCAGTTCTGCGGATAAATGTAGCAACAGCCGAAGTAATTAGACGACAGACACGTGGCAGGCAACTCATTACGCTGCACAAGGGAACAGCAGCATGTGGTTACCGTTCCCACGAACTGCACTCCTTGATTCCTTCCACCCGTGCTGAGGACTCGGTCTGCCACACTGACTCTTTCAACGCCTCCATACCGTGTCCAACCGTAGCACTGCAGGCCACAGCACGTGGCTTTCTGGACAGTGCCGCTGGTTTTAATTTTCGATTTAAAGCTTTCGTGACTGCAGGGATTCATCTTCTTGGTTCTTTCGGTAAAGTCACGTAGAAGGAAAGTAATAAAATAATATTTTATTATGTTTTATTTTTATTATTTTATTACTTTCCTTCTACGTGACTTTACCGAAAGAACCAAGAAGATGAAGTGCCGCTGGTCTCCGGCCACTTGGGTTTTGGGGGCTTCGGGCACCTCTGCACGGTGACCGTGGCTTTCAAAAGGTCAACTGCAGGTTGTACGCACGCCCGGTAGTTTTGGGGGTAAGCGGGAGTAGAGTTTGTGAAACATCGCTCCGACGATTGTCGGAGTCGAGGAAGGAGATGGCTTCACGCCATGCCCTGGCTCTCGCAGCTCGGTGGGGATGTACACTCGAGGTTAGTGGCCCACGTGTTACGGAGTGGTGCACCATTCTTAATGTAAAACATAGAGAAGGGTGCTTGAGTGCGCATGAAGAGACGTTTGCATACATATCGTGTATCTCTCTACGGCTGCCGCTATCCCCTGGCTGGTGGTGGACAGGAGCTTCCGAACTGGACCTGCACACTCACACGGACTGTGGAGCGGTGACCGTACCTTGTCCATGTGGTTTGCAGCCTCCAGCATCCGCTGTCGGACCCGCTCCATGCTTCTGTTTTGCATCTTGTACTGTGGGGAGCACGCACCAGCAACACGGCGCTCGGCTCAGACGCGGCAAACGTGACAGCAACAAGCTGCTCCTTCGGTGAACTTGTACAACATATGATATGAAGTGTCAGACAAAAGAGGTCCGCATTACCATATAAGCCGATATTTATTAGAAAATATATGGGATTTTTTTTCTTCATTTCATAAGAAGACATTCACTCAAGCAATATGAAACGCCGTACATGACAACTGTGATTCCTGAGTTGGCAGCATGGTGGCTGAAGGGCTTTTGCCCCATTGCAGTGCACTCAGCTGGGTTTTGAATGCAGGAAGCCACCCTCAACAAACTTTGCTCAACTTTTCCAATGCGTCCGACGGCCTTAGCCTGGCCGCTCATAAATGACTGCACAAAGTAAAACAAATTAACGTGGATTTGTTTTTCTTTCTGAAATCCGCAACGCGCAGCTTTCAGAGTAAAAAAATGTAGTCTTGTACAAATTACATTTCCTGTAACTTAGCAACGTGGCCTTGCAGCACGCACATCGAGTACACGTGGAGAGCGAGCTCAGGGCAGCGACTTCTGTACTGTGCGATACGCACAAACAATCAAAATGTAGAAATTAAGACGAGACATTTTTAAGATCGTGCGTATGCATGTAGAACTTCTTTCGCACCGTACGTAGCCAACCGTGCTAAACGGAGGTGCGGGGAAAAGACAACAATCTAAAGACAAAAAAGCAGTTTGAAATAAAATGAGTTTTCAATCTAGATTTAAAAGTGCATAGCTCCAGCGGCTTCCTAATATCGGAAGGGAGAGCATTCCAGACGGCCGCAGGAGTGCATCTCAAAGCGTGCGGAACGCATCTGAAGGACCGTTAGGGTTCGGTGTTAATTGCCGAGGCTCCGTCAGGCTGTTTAACGAGGGGCACAGCTGAGGGCGAGTCACGTGAGACGAGAGAACCCGAACACAACGATGAGGTAACTCGGTCTATAACCACGGTGTTCCACGTTTGTCCAAACACTGCACATTTTCCAGACAAGAGGTCAATAGGTCATCGTGTTCAACGTCTTTGATGTCACCACACCTCACCATTGCTTCCTTCCTCTATATATCACAGTTGTCGTAAAGTTGACACCCGCCCTTCAAGGGCCATTCTCACGGTCGCCTACCATCTGGAGTTTGGTCTTCCCCTCAGTCGCTGACCTATCGGAGCCACTCCGACGCCTGCCTCAGTAACCCGCCCTCCTCCATCCTACGCACGCGTCGGGCCCTTCACGAACCTTCCTTCCTTCCTGCATTATATCCAACAACCCTCTCTGGCCACGCGACGTTTCTGAGCCAGCTCTTATTCAAAGGTCTCACGTTCGTTTCCTGTTCGCGCTGTTAGAGTTAAACTCTGACCAACACGGTAACTCAGACATTTCTACTCTTCTAAAAAAAGTGGTTCATGTAAGTTTGTCAAAATCCCTTTTAACTATCACAATAAGTCGGATTTCATACTCACAACCCCGTGTGTTATGTACTTCCTAAATACAAAAAATAATGTTTACTACATCCACATTCTCACTTCCTGCTGACAAATGTGAAGGTTCCTGGGACCCATCAATAACCACTGGCATCAAGTTTGTTGGCCACGACGCTAAGACCCCAGTGCCCAGCATCCGTGCCCGAGGCTTGTGGCGGGTTATGAGTGAGTGATTGTTAACAAGAGCAGCCAGAGGAAGTTGAAGATGCTGACTAAAGCACAGGGACAGGAAGAGTTTATTCTCTGCAGTTGACTGAGTGGCAAGGGGAGTCCCGCGCAGGAATATGGGCTGGGCACCAGTTGAAGGACGGTAAGTAGACAGTATGGGTTCAGCACCAGTTGAAGGACGGTAAGTACACATCATGGGTTCAGCACCAGAGAAGGATGGTAGGTCGACAGTATGCACAGGCCTAGAAGGTCTGGTAGAGCTGGGTTTGCCAGCCAGCTTTTGACACAAAACCTCAGAACTCGGTGGTACCACTGAGAAGAATCATCACGCAGCTTCGGGAAAGTCACTCACAAAATGCAAAAAATATTGATGGGATGGAAAAATAAGTCATCGTTTGCAGAGGTCAAAACAGCAGCGGAAGAGGCAAGGCAATATAAGTGTGCCAAACTTTCTTGCCGAACTGTTTAAAGGTTGGCCGACGAGTGCCTGGAGGAGGAGCAACATCAGACGAAGCCGCGTAAAACACAGAGCGGTCGCCACGGCGTTCCGTGGGCCACACTTCCAAAGTTACAAATGCACGAAATGTGAGAAAAGCAGCCGCTTGACATTGGCACGGCGGCCGTGGCACACTTTGGCGGGGCCTGCACATCGCGCTGTCTCCGCAGTCGCTGGGCATCCTCTTCCCCTTGAAACGCGCTTGCGGCAGCGAAACCGCACCGCAACAGCGCGAGCATGTTTACACGCCGCCATGTCTCGAGACGCCGCCCAAGCCTTTTCAAGATCAAGGAAGGGCACTGACATTTTTATAGCGGGGGGGGGGGGGGAGTTGTTTATTTGGACTAACGAACTGTTTGCCTATTATTAACCCAGGGGAAACGTCTACGGGGGATGTTGTGTTAGGAGTTCAGGACAGCGGTGGCGCTTTCTTCATAACAATTGGGACGTGACGGAGATGGGTATAACATACAGAAAACGGTAAAAAAAAACACGTACATGATGTGTGTTTATTTTATGAAAAGGTTCAGCCAAATTGGGCTATTTCTGCTGGAGTGCAGTCTGCAGGCCATTCAGTGATGTAACCCCGCACCAAGCCAGCGGAATGATTGAGGTTAACTGGGACAGAAAAAGGAAAATAGCTGTAGTCACAACTGCAATGGCTCGAAATTTTGTAAGCGCCTTGCTCTGAACGCATTGCCATGTGCTCTGGAAAAGGGGCTGGATCCATATCCAGTAGGGACGTAATGAATCATTCATTACAATTGATTGCTATGCTCGCCATACACACATTGATTGAATAATGTGTGTAAACATTGATTATTTTTTAATTTACATTTATTTATAGTTTTGATATTGTAGCCCCTATAAGTTCACGCAAATATAAAGTCTACATGATGCACAAGAGCAAAAAGAATTGATTAATGACTTTAATAATGTGTTGTTGGGACCTGCAGTGTGGTGAGTGAGTGGGCGAGTGACTGTTGTTGTTGGGACCTGCAGTGTGGTGAGTGAGTGGGTGAGTGACTGTTGTAGGGACCTGCAGTGTGGTGAGTGAGTGGGCGAGTGACTGTTGTTGGGACCTGCAGTGTGGTGAGTGAGTGGGTGAGTGACTGTTGTTGGGACCTGCAGTGTGGTGAGTGAGTGGGTGAGTGACTGTTGTTGGGACCTGCAGTGTGGTGAGTGAGTGGGTGAGTGACTGTTGTTGGGACCTGCAGTGTGGTGAGTGAGTGGGTGAGTGACTGTTGTTGGGACCTGCAGTGTGGTGAGTGAGTGGGTGAGTGACTGTTGTTGGGACCTGCAGTGTGGTGAGTGAGTGGGTGAGTGACTGTTGTTGGGACCTGCAGTGCGGTGAGTGAGTGGGTGAGTGACTGTTGTTGGGACCTGCAGTGTGGTGAGTGAGTGGGTGAGTGACTGTTGTTGGGACCTGCAGTGTGGTGAGTGAGTGGGTGAGTGACTGTTGTTGGGACCTGCAGTGTGGTGAGTGAGTGGGTGAGTGACTGTTGTTGGGACCTGCAGTGTGGTGAGTGAGTGGGTGAGTGACTGTTGTGTAGGGACCTGCAGTGTGGTGAGTGAGTGGGTGAGTGACTGTTGTGTAGGGACCTGCAGTGTGGTGAGTGAGTGGGTGAGTGACTGTTGTTGGGACCTGCAGTGTGGTGAGTGAGTGGGTGAGTGACTGTTGTTGGGACCTGCAGTGTGGTGAGTGAGTGGGTGAGTGACTGTTGTTGGGACCTGCAGTGTGGTGAGTGAGTGGGTGAGTGACTGTTGTTGGGACCTGCAGTGTGGTGAGTGAGTGGGTGAGTGACTGTTGTGTAGGGACCTGCAGTGTGGTGAGTGAGTGGGTGAGTGACTGTTGTGTAGGGACCTGCAGTGTGGTGAGTGAGTGGGTGAGTGACTGTTGTTGGGACCTGCAGTGTGGTGAGTGAGTGGGTGAGTGACTGTTGTTGGGACCTGCAGTGTGGTGAGTGAGTGGGCGAGTGACTGTTGTGTTGGGACCTGCAGTGTGGTGAGTGAGTGGGTGAGTGACTGTTGTTGGGACCTGCAGTGTGGTGAGTGAGTGGGTGAGTGACTGTTGTGTTGGGACCTGCAGTGTGGTGAGTGAGTGGGTGAGTGACTGTTGTAGGGACCTGCAGTGTGGTGAGTGAGTGGGTGAGTGACTGTACTGTTGACTGAGCGTGTGCCCCAGGGGTGCGCGTCTCCAGCTCACCTTTGTGTGGTCCACAACCATGAACATTTCCACATACTTGGTGTCCTGCAGCACCCAGGCGGGGTCCTGTGCACACAATACACAGGGTACCAACTATCATCAGCAAATCACACGTCTGGATACTATAACACCCACCAACCACCCACTCTTATCGTCATAACGTCTCCATACGCATCTCAGAGTCGTTACTTTGGTATGTGGCCTTTACAAGGAAAGCGAATTGTAACATTCATTGGCATGTGATGAATGTGAGGCATGTGGGAGCTCTTTAAGGGGCACCACGGTATTCATACAACCACCATAACTCTGAAGCTTTCAGTTTCCCTGAAAGTGCTTGTTTTACAAAGCTGATGCCACCGTAATTCCCCATCCGTCGTCCTGGTGAATGTACAAAGAGCTCAGAACACAAGAGGGGTGACTGTGGCGCTGAACGAGATGGGCGATAAACTCTACCGCTGCCGAACACCTGTGCTGACTTCAAACCAACGCTGGCATCTCTCTGGGACGACTGTAATCGCGAAAGTTCTCAAACAGTTCAATTGTCGCTCCGCACAGGGCCACAAACAACTTAAAATGTTTTGTAAACGTCTCCGAAAAAGAATGCTGTTTATGTTCTTGTAATTCCCTTACCCTTGGTGCGCAAAAGTGAGTGCAAGCCAGGATACTACCATCGTAAGTGCTCTCACAGAAGTACGACAACCACCATCACCATCACCACCACCATCACCACCACCACCATCACCACCATCACCACCACCACCACCATCACCACCACCACCATCACCACCACCACCACCACCACCATCACCACCACCACCACCATCACCACCACCACCATCACCACCACCACCATCACCACCACCACCATCACCACCACCACCATCACCACCACCACCATCACCACTACCACCACCACCACCATCACCACCACCATCACGACCACCATCACCACCACCACCATCACCACCATCACCACCACCACCATCACCACCATCACCACCACCACCACCATCACCACCACCATCACCACCACCACCATCACCACCACCACCATCACCACCACCATCACCACTACCACCATCACCACCATCACCACTACCACCACCATCACCACTACCACCATCACCACCATCACCACCACCATCACCACCACCACCATCACCACCACCACCATCACCACCACCACCATCACCACTACCATCATCACCATCACCACCATCACCACCATCACCACCATCACCACCACCACCATCATCATCTCAGCGGTGGTCTTCCTCTAATGCACATTCTTTTCTTTGACTGCCATTCCATTATGTCACCAGATTTGGCTCTCGCCCCTTCTGGCGCTATAAACTTCCCTTCACAATCACGTTTTCATTTTCATTTGCTAAATCATCGATGGCTTTGATTTATGTTCGCTCCCTGATCCACGTGCCCCCCTCTCTCTCTGTCTCGCAGTGTAATACTGCCAGAAAGATATGATGTACGGATGAACACCAGGGACAATTATACAATTAACAAGAGCTGAAAAGTACACGCAAACATTCCCCCAGTGAAAAGAGTTAAATAATTAAACTGTTTTCCTGTTGGAAAAAAAACATTCACTCAAAGAAAAACATTTATTTTCCAAAATTTCCCTTTTCACTTCATATTTTTTGGGGGATTTGTGAGCAATAAGCTCATACGTTGTTTATGAGAACACTCAAATAGTTGTTGTTTTTTGCATCCTGGATCATGGCCTTTTTACAAACATAAATCGTGCGCTGTTTTTGAAAGAAAACATTCTTAGATGGATGTTGTTAATCATGTGACGTTGCTTGGATCAGGATGTGGCCTTTACAAAGCAGTAACGTTGTCCGTCGGTAACAAAACATCTCGTGTTAGACCCACTATTCTATAATCATACAGCAGTATATTTAAATTATAATTACACAATCATATGTAATACCAGTCGATTGTTGCTTTAATTGGAATGCAACGCTCGCTATCGGAAGGGTGCAAGTTGAATTGGTGGTCGGGTGGGAGGTCGACTGGCCATATTTTCTCCGGGTGATAAAATAGATACTAATTTGTGGGACGTGAATATGGCACCACAAGGGGAGACAAAGGCGGCCGGGCGTGGTGCTGGCCACCCACCCCGCTTGTGTTCGTTATCAGCACTTGCCCCAAGCATTCCTTCTCTGAACCGTAATACTCCTCAAGTCTCTCGGTGCCATTCCAAACGTACACCTCTCCACGCTTCTCTGCACTCTCATCAGATTTTGTTCGATTTTCTTTGCCCAATGTTTCACTTCTTGGAAGAGGAGTCAGACAAGGAGGCACACTTTGGCCAAAGTTATTCATCGTGACACTGGAAGAGGCTTTCCCGAAAACCAGGTTGTATGCAAATCAAACCAGACATTATAACAACCACTGCAAAAGAACAAGAGGAAATGATGAAAACCGCTTGATAACGAGATGCTTTCATTTGCCTTTGAGAGACAGAGATTGCCCCAACCACAAATTGTCTAATTTACGCTGTTCACTCACTCAGCACCACCCGAACGTAAAACCTTGGCAAGGAGGCATTTCCACTTCTGACTTGGGTAGGAATCTCAGCAACAGTGGACATAAAGAATCACCGAAAACCCACACTCAGCCCCCAATAATTGTGAGCGTCTTTCCAGACCGCGCGCCACTCGCCGCACATTCAGAGGCAGGCAGACTCATCACAGCCACAACAACAAAGTGTAGCCTCGTGCATTTATTCACTTAGCAACCACCTCGGGAAGTGCATGTGGGGTAAATGCGCAGAGTGTAATCTATCACTCCCCGTGCCAGGGTCACAGGCCGCGGTTAAGTGAGACAGGACGTACACAATGTGTTGGCTGTGTGGTTAGAATCACAAATAAATATTGGACAACTGCTCAATAATATTTGTCCTCGAAGAGCATATGCTTTACTGTCACGACATGGCAACACGCGGGGTGGCTCAGGGGTGCTCATGTTTAAATAATATTTGTCCTGAGACTTCGGTTCAAATCGTAGAAGCCACGTGTGGTTCAAGAGGAGCACACAAAGTGTGCACAGTCGGTAGCCCTCAGCCTCGTGACTGACGCATCAACAAAACCCACTCAATGAAAATGTGTCTTAAGTTCAGTCAACTTAGCCCAGGTCAGTGAGTAAACCCTTATCGAATATATCATGGGATCTCCTTTGCCAATACCGAAAGAAAGCTGTCTCTGGTGTGGACTAATCAGTTTCAAAGACAATGCATATATTATCAGAGGATGTGTTTTGTTTGCATTCTGACCACAAGTATTGTGGTTAATGCAGACATGATTCCTTGTAGAAGGTTTCAGTTTGGTGTTTTAACATCTTAACACCTGTTTTGTTGCCATAAAAAAGGGAAAACACCTATTATCTTATCGAATATATAAAATTGCTGACACACGCACGGAACATCTGGTGTTGAGTGGTATCCGGCCTCTTGAAGCGATTCACAAATAGTTACACGATGCGATGTCATCTTTGTGAGGCCAATCTCCGACAAGACGAGAGCTTTCATGGCAGGCAGGAGTTGCGGTAGGCTCAAGAGTACTCCACTGCACTCGACACAATATAATCGCTAGCTCGCCAGAAATTGGCATTCGATTGCCCTCCGCGGATGTTTCATGACACGTCGCTACGCTTGCTTCAAAGTCTACCGGCCAAGACTGGCAAGCGGAGTTCATTTAAATCCAAAGAACAGATGCTCACACTCTCTCCGCTGACGGCGCGTACTACCGGGGGAAAAACAAATCACACGGCGGAGCGGATGAGGCACTTGAATTAGAATCGTTCCACTGCATGGCCAACGTGGCTTCTACGTCCATGGTTGGATGGTTCTGTTGTTCGTGGGACCATTTCACTCAGCACGGTGAATAAGGAGCCCTGAGCGCTCGGTCTTGCCCTTGGGACGGGCTAACCGTGCCGGGATGTCATGATACTGAGGTGGAACTCCCTTATTGCCCCAGCCCTCATTTAGGATTGACCAGTGCCTCTGGGCTGAAAGTGCCGACTTTTATATCAAACGTCTGCCGTACAACAGAGTTTGGGCCCCACCAGAGAGGTTGGGTGACTCGTTGGCTAGGAGATGTTAACTACCTCGCCTGGTATACAGGAGGTCGTGGGTTCGATCCTGACCCAGACCCCTCTATATTTGGAGTTCGCATGTCTCTCCCCGTGGTTGTGTGGCTTTTTCTCCGGGTCCTCCGGGTTTTCCCTCCACAATTAGAATGAACGTGTTTTTAGAGTATTTGGCTGCTATACATTTCCACATGATAAGCCACTGCGTTGAGCTATCATTTGTGGCCAGGTCGTTTCTGAAAAAGAGATAACTAGCTCAGTGGGCCTTACCTGGTAAAATAATAAAAATTGTTGAATAGTTTAGTGTAATAGATTCCCACCACAAATAGATCTCTCTGCCACACACAAATCAATCCGGGATAATTGTGCCCCAGATCTTACAGCGTTGTGTGAGGAGGCAGCATTCTCCTGAATGTCTTCCATGGAGTATTCATAGCTTATAATTCTGATCCTTTTTGTTTTATAAAAATGCACGGAAAATTATCGTCCCATCTCAGTTTACAAAAGTGTACAGAAATATCATCCCAAGCCTCTAAGTGCACACAACTGTACATACCAGGGGATTATCATAATTACACACAATTCCACAGGGCACCATTTGTCAGGTTAAAAAAAATAAAAATGATATACGGTTACAAACTCCTGTTTGCATTTGTAATCGGAATTTCTGTACAAAATCACGTGTGCGTCTTGGAAAGCACAGCTTTCCAAAAAAAAATCATCACTCGGTGCAACATTCAAGTCTGCCTGAGCTGCAAAGACACAGACTACACAAAGACACAAACTACACAAAGACACGAACTACACAAAGACACAAACGACACAAAGACACAAACGACACAAAGACACAAACGCGCACATGCACAATCCACAATCATTGTTACCAGCCGTCTGCCAATCCCCTCTCGACCTGTTTACATTACTAAAAGCACAGAGCATGCAGAATATTTAATCTTGTC